TCGAAAAGAAAACTAAAAATTGATAGTACAAGGTTGCAGGTCAGAAAAGATTGTATAAATGAGTTTATTTAGGGTCTAATTAATCTAATTTAGTTAAATAATGGAATAGAATTTATTTCTCTTCTTTTTATTAATTTACTGCCTCATATAGTGACTTTGAAATTAAATTGAACTTAAATCGTGAAAATGAATATATATATTTGGCACATAAAAAAAAAAAGTCCCATCAAAGGTATATCATCAAAAGGTATATATATATATAGTATATTTATATATATATATATACATGTAACATATTGAAAGGCTAAGGCAAATATACATGTAACATATTGAAGGCAAGGCAATTGCCAGACTTTAAAAAAAGAACGTGTTCTGGTGTAGGTAGCCAGGATTTGTTTGGTATAACCTGACTGTTTGGTCGATATTGGTGGGTTTTTGAAATTAATGCCGACCTTTACCTACTATTTCTATTTCACAGTGTCACTCTTGAAAATGACTTACTTAATTATTTTTCTGAAAAGTAAAAATAAAAAAATATTTTATTTGTTTGGTATACCTTTAAACTAGCCTAAAAGTAAAGGTTTTTCCAATTATATTTTATTAATTAAATTCGTAAAAAAATTATTGCTTAATTAATGAAAGTTACAAATTGCCCATTTTTTGAATAACTTTTTCATAAAAAAAAAATACTAATGCATACAAATTTAACAATAATATTTAAATGGTTTTCTCTGTCAATAATATTCTAACTCAATAATCAATATATAATTCTGAATTAGAAATTCAACACCAAAGACTAAAAATAAATAAATTTTAAAATTGTTTCAATTTCCAAATTCTACGGGGTTTTAGAATCAAATTCTAGTAGGTTTGAATTTGAAAAGTCTCCTTAATTAAAAATCTCTCAGATACATATTAGTAGTCAACCCTATAATTTCGAAAAAAAAAAAAATTTGACAAAGAAAAATAAATCTAGAACTATATGGATATATCTAATTTTTCAAACCATTAATTTCTTTTTGTAATTTGTTTGCTAATTAAGTCTAGTTGTTCAAATTGTTGTGTTTCTTGTGGTTCTTCTAAACAAATGGATGGAAATCTTTAATTAAGATTTAAATTATAATTAATCATCCACGTTTATAGTCAGAGTCTTTAATTAATCATTAGTCAAGATTTTTTACTTGAAAAATTGGAGAAAAGAGAAAAATATATTAGGTGAGATTTGTCTAGTGGGAGAGCTGTCCACATCCACATGCATGAGCTTGTCATATGAGAAGAGAGAAGATACAAAATTAGACATTAATTAAAAAATAAAAGGGCAAAAAAAGAGATGGTCATTACATAAATTAATAAGTTCATTAATTGGTGCATTATGTTGATTTTTACGTGCATTTCATGTGAATTTCACGTGAATTTCATTTTAATTGATAATTATATCAATCTTAATGATTATAGGTTTTGATAAGATATAATTATATTGTCATAAGAGGTGACACAAACAAAAAATGATGGATGGTTTTAGAGCTTAATTTAAAACATGGAAATTACTATTTTAAATGCACAGATGACTTTTTGTTGTTAAAAATGTAATGTAATGTCTTATATGTTAAAGGTTTTCACTTTTCCTCCATTGTTTCCTTTTCAAATTGAAGTGATGTAAAACATATGAGCCCGAGTAGAAAATAAATAAAATATTATTTCATTTAATATACTTATGGACTATTCTCTCTCTACACAAATATAAATTGACCTATACACGTGAATATAACAAGTATAAATTTAGGATGGAGAAAATATTTATTTATTTCTAAATGAGCCATGTATTAGGTAAGTCATTGTCTTTATTTTCATATTTATGCCCTAATAGTGTTAATTCATTGTAAAGAAGAGTCCAGACATTAAACATTTAATATTTTTTTCTTAGGTGACATTATTGCTAAGATCACCCATTATTTGAAAACACACTACCATGTGCCATGAAATATTGGCTCTTTTTAGCATAGTTAAACAAAGAGAGACAAATATTTGAGATGGAGGCTTTCCTTTTTACCAACCTCTATATATATATTTTTAATTATTTTGGTTTCAAATTTTGTGGTTATGAGTCATGACTATATATACATATGGACTAATTAGTAATAACTATTTTTTTTTTTATACTCTCTCCGTTTCAAAACTGGTGTCATTTTTTTAGCTCTGCACATGAATTATTAAATAATGCAATTAATTAAGAGAGTAATTGAATGATAATTATATTAAATAGTGTTAAAATTATAAAACTAACACTTATTTAAAAAAAAAAAAAGATAAATGAACGACATTTATTTTGAAATAGAGGAAATAGTTATTTGTAAGATTGATAAATCACAACTAATATTTACTTGCTCCTTTAAAAAAAAAAAAAAAAAAAAAATTGTAAGAATTTGATAATCACAAACTATATTTACTTGCTCCTTTAAAAAAAAAAAAAAAAAAAAAACTGCCTACTTTTTTGTCTCCTATGTTGCCCCCTCCTTCAACTGAAACGTTTATTTAATTTAAGACCCGGGGAATAACCCAAAAGAAAGACTAATATTATGGTTATAAAAAAAAAAAAAAAAAAAAAACTGCTACTTTTGTCTCCTATGTTGCCTCCTTCAAACTGAAACGTTTATTAATTTAAGACCGGGGATAACAAAAAGAAAGACTAATATTATGGTTATATCGCATAAAATTGCGGAAGATTGTTAAATTTGACAATTTTTGACTTTTCACAAAAATTAAAAATTAATTAATTATCTTAGTTTTAAAAAAAATAAAAATAATTAACGAATTTAATTCTTAATTAATGTTCATTTAGTTGAAATAAAATAAAAAAATAAATATAAATAGCTGTAAAATTGAAATAAAATAATCAGTATCATTTTAATTTTTTAAATAAAATAAAAAAAGGTAAAGATCTGACAAATTCAAAGGTGGGGAGGGAGTAGAAGACTCTTTCCGCGATCACGAAAAAAAAAAAAGTCAATCGAATTGTTTATGGGCCCTAAATATCTTATTTTCCCATTTTACCCTTCTCTCTAATTTTCATTGGAATATCACACAATTAACAGTTGACAGTTAACTGTGTCACGTGATGCCACGAGATTTGTGCGACGTGAGCCGTTAAAAAGCAATACTGCTTCTAGCCTCTAGGAGGGAGTTGAATTTGTTTACGAGGAGTAATTAATTACTTAATTAATTCTATACTGTCGCGGTGACTTTATATACATAAAGAGACTATAGAATTGTCTTATTTTTTAATTAAATATTAAATTCACGAAACGCATATAAAAGTGACATCTAACTATTTATTAATACTAATCTTTTTAATATTGATTTGATCAAACTAAATTAAACTCATATCGCACATTCTCACAAAATTGATTTCAAGGATTCTAAATTCTTATATAATTCATTTATATCTTTTAACTTCTACTAATGTCTATAAATCAATAATTTGATTGGTAGAAAATGGGCAGAAAATTATTTTGGTGGTAAAAGATAAAATTACAAGCAGCCCCAAAATCTTAAGAGAGAAGAAATGACCATATACCAAAAAGGGCAAAAAATTAAAAAAGGTAGCACCGTATTTTTGTCATTGGTATATATTTTCTTATCCTATTTTTCTCATGTCGCTGAAAACAAATATTAAATAAACACAAAGAGCATAGCAAAATAAAAAGAAATAAATAGAGAAAAGGAAACAAACGAAAGGAGATATATTATTATTATTATATTTTTTTTGCTTTTTAATCAAAATGCCAACGGTGCGTGAAAGCGACACAAGCGCAAAATCTGCCTGCGCTGGGTGGGGCCCAAACTGACATGTGGCCACATCACGCCTTTCCCATCACAGATGGCACCATTTTAATACTTGTATAGGTACCATTTACACGTGTTAGCTTCTTTGTATTTATTCACCTGGGACCGGACCAATAATCTATTCATTTAATTGCTTTTTCGTCCTTTTTACTATTTTAATGAACTTTTTTTTAAAAAAAATTTATTTTTCCACATCGATTTCGTATAATGTTTAGTAAAAGAAATTTATTAGTTATAGTTTTCTACAGTATTATTATTTATATAATGTTTATAATTTAAGCGAGTGCATTACGAAAGATTTATTTTTTTTTTCTTGTCCGACGAGTACTTTTAAAGTAGCATTTAGAATACGATTAAAACCCTACTGATAATTAGAAAATAACTAATAATTAATAATTTTATTTTATCAAACAACGAAATACAAATAAAATCTCTCAATATAGAACAAAATACATATAATATCAGTTACAATCATTATAATAATTAAAAATTACTAAAATTGGACAAACTTTCGCACCATCCTCGATGGTACTTTTTTTTTTTTTTAATATTATGAGGATGGTACATAAAAATAAAATTTAGAGAAACGGTAAGTTTGTTTTCATCTTGTTACTAAATTTCTTTTGATGTCAAACATATTTAAGAGGTGATTATATATAGATATAACTAACCTATTGATTGACCAACCGTTTCAATTCAATGAATCCAGATTGAAAAGGATTTCCAAAGTTTCGGTACTGATTCCGAATTTAGTAAATTTTTGAATCCATTTAAAGAATACCACCGAAGGAGATACTAATTAAATCAGAATCAATCCCTTTAAATTTTAATCCGATTATAATTTCAAATTTTCTTAATCTGATTTTAGTGCCGTGTAAATATATATAGGCACTGAGTATGAATTATTCTATTAAAGTCATCGAAGAGAGAATATATATAATCACTAAATAATCTATTTTTTGCATAATAATAATAATAATAATTTAATCAATTTTTTACTTTCTGAAAAATTCCTAATATAGCATAGAAAATATATAGAGAGGGTCAATTATTAAATTACTCCAAAATGAGGTGTTATTTTAGTTTTATTATTAAAAATGAAAGTAGAATAAAAAAATCTGGTGAAAATTGGAAGGCTGTTTCCTGATTCAACAACCACAACCAGGTAGTAGAGAAGGGGGTGGTTACCTTGTTAAGCAAGTCTTTCTATGGGCTATCAAACTCTATAAATACCCTTTCTTTTTGCTTTCAATTCCTTCCTTTGTTCTTCCCTTTTCCTTTCCTTTCCTTTCTCTCTTTTTTCCTATTTTTGCGTTTCTCCTTCTTTTCCTCTCCCTTTCTTTCCTAGGGTTTTGTCCCTTCTATTTCGGTTTGCACTTCTTATTTTTCTATTTGGATCTTTCAGGGTTTTTGTCTTTTTGATCTGAGAACTGCGTTTTTAGACATCAGTTATTGTTTGATTGATAGGAAAATCATAATTGAAGACACGGACTCACGTTCTGGGATTAGGTATGTACATGTATATTTTCTCTCCTTTTAGAATTTGAATTTTTCATGTTTCATGTGCAATGCTGTTATATTCATTATTAACAACTTAAATAAAGGTAAACGCTTTTGTAAGATCCATATTGGCCTCTAGCTCTTTCTGTTTCAACATGCAAAACCCATGAATCAAAGGTGAACCCTTTTCTTTTTGGTCCATAAAGATAAAAACTTTTTTTTTTTTTTTTTTTTTTTTTTTTTTGGCCTCTAGCTCCTTTCTGTTTCACATGCAAAACCCATGAATCAAAGGTGAACCCCTTTTCTTTTTGGGTCCATAAAAGATAAAAACTTTTTTTTTTTTTTTTTTTTTTTGTTTTCCAGCTTCAAATTTGAAGCCTTTTTGTTAAATTTAAAAATGGAGCACTTTGAAGTTTTGAAATGTATAGGCTATATTGCCTGAGGATTTTTTTTTTTTTTTTTTTTTTTTTTTTTGTTTTCCAGCTTCAAATTTGAAGCCTTTTTGTTAATTTAAAAATGGAGCACTTTGAAGTTTGAATGTATGGCTATATTGCCAGGATTTTGAGGTACCCAGTGTTTCTGTTATTTTGAGGTATTTCTTGGCCATTCGGGAGTTTTTAGGTTGTCTGACTTTTGAAAGCCTATGGTTTTTGATGGAATAATTCTGTGACTTCATTTTAACATTTTATAAAAGTATATATATGATATAAGATCTCTCCTTGTGTGTAAATCTATTTATTTAATATTGGAAGATGACTTTGATAACCTATTTTTATGTTTTGTTTATCGTACTATATGAATTTTTTTTTTTTTTGTCGGTTCTTCTTAACCAGCTAATTCTGATGAGATTCTGAAACGTGTCTTGATCGCTTTCTTTTGATGTGACTCGATGACTCTTTAATAGGAAAACTCTATAATTTGATGTTTAGGTGCCCTTTTTTAAATAACTAGTTACAATGTTGTTTTCCTGGGAAATTATTTTAATAATGGTCTCATCATGTCAAGAAATTTCATTGATATTGATTCGAAATACAAGTAAAAGCTAATTTATTGACATTCTAATTAAGTTTCCAGAATGGTTTCATATGTTCCAAGTTCTTTTTCCTTGTGGGATCAAAGTCTACGGTCGTTTTGGTAGTTGCAGTGTCCTGTCATTGTATGAAAAAAATGTTTATTTTCCATCAATTCTTAATTGTTGTTGTTGATGAAGATTTTATGGAACTATGAAAGGGATGCATTATTAGATCTACAAGTGATATGACCTTGCCAAGGGCCCACGCAGACCCACCATCATATAATGACAAATACATAAATACATACATGCATATGCTGGTGTGTGTGTGTGTGTGTGTGTGTATATATATATATTATGAAGTCATGTATTATGTCCATTGCTGCTGCTATGCAAATTGTGAAGTCCCAGAATTATTAAATATTTGTCATCAATATCTTCTCCTATAGGTGGATGCATCTAGACGAAGAAATAGCACAGCTTGTCTTTGAGTGTACTTGGAGAAAATTCAATCATACACGAGCTAAATTAGTGTAGAATTATTTGGATTTAATCCTTATTGTATTATTTTCTGTATAATGTTTATTGTCATCTTCTAGAGCTTTTGGAGAATGTAGTTTGTTTTGTTGTACTGTACTATTGCCTTTTGATGCAATCTTAATTATTCATTAATTACCTTTACATAAAAAATTTAACTTTTTCTCAACAACCTGTTAAGTCTTAATTGACTTTGGCCCACTTCTTGAAATGTCACTCCCATGTCCAGTTGTCCACAGATATTGAAACATGGATTTTCTTGGAGATAGATGTATAGATGCCTAATCTTGGTCAATTCTTTCATTATGGGAGTTGATATAGATGCCTAATTTTGTTTGTGCTATTGCATAATTTCATTTGGCCTTATTTGCCGCAAAAGGAACACAGTAGGTGGATGACTGATTTAGAATTTGCGATTGCTGTCTCTCTTTTGTAAAATATGAACATAATTTCCACAAATTTATATGGCTTGTATTATTGGCTTGGTTTTTATTTTTTGGCATATTTTGCTTTCTGTTGCATAATATGGAATTCTAAACAAGGACTGAAAGGTCATGGTGGTTTTGCTTTCCATTTAGACTGTTAGAGGATGTGGAATATTTAAGATCAATAGTTCTCTCTTTCTAATTTCGTCAGGGGCAAAAGAAATCTTACAGCAGAAACTTTTATCAGAAGTGTCTGTTTTTTTTTTCTTTTTTCTTTTTTCGATTTTGAAGTTTTTAATTCGATAAGTTTTTATTGTGATATATGGGATCGAAACGAGGTTGGTTTTGTTTTCCATTTAAACTATTATAAGCTGACAAATATGTAAGAATAGTTGTCTCTTTTGGATTGCATTGGAAGCATAAGAAATCTTACCTTAGAAACTTTCATTAAGTATTATTATTTTTAATTAAATATCTTAAAGCAAAAATTTTTTGATCACACCTTTCCTTTTTGTTATTGCTATCTTTTGTGAGGTTTAAGCATATTTGACCTTTTCCCTATTGTATTTAAAATGTTTTCAATTTTGAAAACTTTAATTATGTTAGCTGTATTCATTAGTTTAGTATAGTGTCAGCGTCAAGACATATGACTTAATTAGATGCTGATTCAGACAAATCTGTTCCTTAACTTGGACAATGATGATTATCAAACTTTGTCATTTTCACATGACCTTTGAATAGAAAGAAGTTTTATTTTATTTTCTGAATACCAGTACATGATTAGTAGCTTATCTGGTTATTTTCATGTCCAGGAACTAATTTCTTACCCTTTAGTAAAATTTATTTTCTTTGTTGTATTTTAGACCATGTGAATTAGTTGAACTACTGTTTATGGATCCCTTTTGTTTATTAGTTTGTTTTTGGAAGATACAAGTCACAGTTGTGAAACTGCAGACTTACTTATTTCCAAGGCAATTTTCAGTTAACTGGCTCTTTTTTATTATATTCTGAGCAGGTACTTGGTGCGTTTTGTTGGAGCTATAGAAAATTCACTGTGCAAATAATGTTTGGCCACCTGCTATAAATGCAGTGTAGTTTTGGGGATGAGAAGGTAAATATACTTGACACTGTGTTATATTCATAGTCTGAAGCAACTTTTGACATGAAATTAATTATTTTCCTTTCTTAAACAGCTTTCAGGAAGTCTATGCTTAATGGACTGCTTTCCTAGCAGTAGTGATAAGAAAACATTGAAGAGGTGGTTTTTTATTGATAAAAGGGTTGGGTAAAAAAAAAAAAAAAAAGAAACTCTGTATAAGGTTAATATATCTGTGTTTTAGGCAGAGTGAACACTTAATTTTACATTTGAGAAGGACTGTTACAAGTCATTTGAATCCAATGGACATGAAGTCTAGTAGTTCATCTCCAGTACTTACTGATCCTGCACCGATAAACAAGTCAAGACTTTGCATCCATTCTAATCTGTTGGCTTATCCACAATCTGGAGCATCTTTTTCCTCTGGCAAGCATATAAATATTCCCAGGAAAAAGCCAGGAAAGCTTGATGATGTTCGCTCCAATGGATGGCTTGATGCCATGAAATCCTCTTCACCCCCTCGTAAGAAGCACATTAAGGATTTCAGTATTGAACTTGCTTCAGATGAGACTGACATTGCCGACTACTCATGGATGGTATATTTGCTTGGCTTTATTGAGCAGATTAAGTTATTGTTTCTGTTTTTTAATATTTTTGTTCACAATTTTGTTTCTGACTGTCAGCTTAAGTATCCATCAGCACTCAACTCTTTTGAGCAAATTACAAATTTTGCAAAGAAGAAGAAGATAGCAATATTTCTAGATTATGATGGGACTCTCTCTCCAATAGTCGATGATCCGGATCAGGCCCTTATGTCTAGTGATGTAAGAATTTATTACCAAAAAGTTTTTGGATATTTGATAAAATTTTTTCCCATTTTCTTCCGTACAGCCTTGTTATCAAATTTCTTTGTTTTCAGATGCGTTCTGCTGTAAGAAATGTTGCAAAGTATTTCCCAACAGCAATTATTAGTGGAAGGAGTCGTGATAAAGTAGGTGGAGATCTGGTCATTTCAATTTTTAAGATTTGCATATTGTGTAGCAGCTAATGATTTCGTAAACATGCACATGGTTTTTCTTGTAGATGTTTATTTACTGTATTTTTTTTCCCCAGGTGTATGAATTAGTAGGACTAACAGAGCTCTATTATGCTGGTAGTCATGGGATGGATATAGTGGGCCCTATTAATAAGGCAGTGTCCAATGACCATCCAAATTGTATTCAATCAACTGACCAACAGGTTTGAGATATGATTAGACCTTGTATCACTCCCCAGATGTATTCAGTCTCACAGAGATCATAAACATTGGCTTTTGCAGATTTTCATTCTGATGATTTTTTTTTTTTTTTTTTATGTGTATTCAATTCAACTGACCAACAGGTTTGAGATATGAATTAGACCATTGTATCACTCCCAGAATGTATTCATCTCACAGAGAATCATAAACATTGGCTTGCAGATTTTCATTCTGATGAAATTTTTTTTTTTTTTATTAATATGCTTAAAGAATCTGTTGGCATTTTGATTTGTAGGGCGAGGAGGTTTTTTTTTTTTTTTTTTTATGCTTAAAGATCTGTTGGGCATTTTGATTTGTAGGGCGAGGAGGTAAATCTGTTCCAGCCTGCTATAGAATTTATACGTATGATCGACGAGGTCTATAATTTTCCTTTTTCCTAGTTATCAGTTTATCGATACATGTATAGTTATCAATTTATCAGAGTATAAAGTAATTGTTTTTTAATTGGGATGCAGGTTTTTAGAACCCTTGTTGAGAATACTAAAGAAATCAAAGGTGCAAAAGTTGAGCATCACAAGTTTTGTGCTTCTGTACATTACCGTAATGTAGAAGAGAAGGTAAGCTATGCAAAGTATTCATAATATATGTATGTATTTATTTTTCTGTTTTCGAATTCACTTCTCTTCCTGCACTTCCAATTTGCCCGTGGTTTTAAATTGTGTTCTATTTATATTGATTCCAGAACTGGCCTGCTATTGCACAAATTGTGCATGATATTCTAAAACAGTATCCTCGTCTAAAATTAACTCATGGGCGGAAGGTAACTTTTCTTGTTTGTATAGTATGATTCATGTAATTTTATCTTTCCCTGTCAACTCTTCATTGACTAAATGATTGGACTCATTTTTCCTCCTCTTCTCATTAGGTTTTAGAGGTTCGTCCCGTAATTGACTGGAACAAAGGGAAAGCTGTTGAATTTCTGCTAGAATCCCTTGGTATGTGATCTTCTGCTTCTTGGTGATCATAACAGTACCAGATTTGGTAATTACTTTTTGAAAAAAGTCATAATAACTGAGATCTATAAAATGGCAAAGCAGGCCTCAATAACCATGATGATGTGCTCCCAATTTATATTGGTGATGACCGGACCGATGAAGATGCATTCAAGGTAATTGAATTTTAAGTACTTAAAAAAAAGTTCTCTGGAAAAATTTTGTTTCTGTGTAATAACATACTTGAATGTTAAACATCAGGTATTGCGCGAAGGTAATAAAGGTTATGGCATTCTGGTATCTTCTACACCGAAAGAAACCAACGCTTTTTATTCCCTGAGGGATCCAACAGAGGTGCTAACTCTACATCTGCACTATTGCTGTGATGCTTATTATATTCAATTGCTTATTCTGATTTTGATAATGTTGTTCAGGTAATGAAATTTCTGAATTCGCTGGTGAGATGGAAAAAGCTACAAGAAGGGGGACGCTCCATGAATAACAGATGGAGCATATAATGAAGAAGGTCCAGATAGCACTAGGCATTTGATTTTTAAAAATTTTACAGATGATAATAAACTTCCAAAGCAGTTGAGGAGCTGCATTGTTTGAAGGTTAAAGTTTGGTGATCTTTCTTGTAAATCCATTTTCTTAAGTTTTGATTATTTCATTATTAACATATATAGATATTGTAAAATTAAATTTTCTTATACTTTTTGGTCGAATTGTGATTTGTGAGCTAAAAGCTCTGTTTTATGCAATTCATTATATGTGTGTATGTGTTACCAATTCTGCTATTTGCAGATCAAGGAATAATAATAATACTAAATAAATTTAAACTTCACGGATAGAAATTATGCTCATGCATTTACTGTTGGACAAAAACGATCAAATTAAAGGTTGTCATACTTTGACATACGACTGGAATCTTGAAGTCGTTTTACGCCAGTGGAATGTGGAAACGCCTATTCGAACGACATTGAGCATGAAACGAGCAAATTAGTATGTTGGGCCTTCGATCAACGCTGAGGCCGAGCCCATTTAAAAGGACGTGGCCGTCCTTGTTGAGGCCTTTAGCATATTCAGCCGAATACAGGACTCACTGGGGCGGAGTCCACAAAGCTTAAAACCAATCACTTTCACCCTTTCATTTTCAATCCCTGGCCATGGACTTCTCCGTCATTTATTTTTTCCAATTTTTAGAAATATATTTTTTATTTCGTCTGATTTTTTTTTTTTTTTTTTTTTTTTTCGTTGATTTTTTTTTTTTTTTTTTTTTTGTCTAGAACAAATTTTTTTTTTTTTTTTTTTTTTGTCTAGAACAAACTGAATTTATCTTTTTGAGTAAAATTAGTAAAACACATAAAAGTTTTTCTTCAATTAATTAATATTTTAATTTATCCTTTGTGTGTAAACTTTCCTTGCAAGATCAGGAATTTTACTTGAAGATTTTCGGATAGAGCATATAAACTTTTATTTATAGAGATAAGAGTGGAAAAACAATTGTTTAATACTTATCCGGGATTTAATTTCTGAAAATAAACTGCATTTTTCTGGTAAATTTTAAGTGTAAAGATTATCAATTTTGCAATGGAACCCGTCTACGTGGACACTACATGATACAAATTTTTAATTTTAGGGATAGAGAGAGAGAAAAAAAAAAAAAGGATTATCCAAACAATAAATTTAATACCTGAAATATAAAAGAAGAAGAAATATCCAAAAGCTAAAGAAATTATAATAAGAAAATGTAAACTTGCACCTGTCACTTGGTAATATCATCTGTATATAAATCTCTACTTTCTCCAGTGTCATTTTTCTTTAGCTCAAAACTACAACCTGACTCTTGCACTTTGATTTCAGTTACCAAAATGTCACTCTCCTTGCAATCTCCGCCCTTTTCTGCTCTTTACTCCAAATCATTTCTTCAGGTTCTCTCTCGCTTTATATCTGTAGATTTGTATATATTTATCTGTATTGTAGCTTATTTGATTGGTCACAGAATGGAGGGAACTTGAGGCTGCTAGGTGGATCGGGAGCTTCAAATGCAATCTTCTTCAAGTTACAACGGTCTTTTCCACAAATTCGTGCTTCTTCTGGCTTCTCTTCTTCTCTCGATACTGGTCTTTCTCTATCTTGGAATTTTTTTCTCTTTCCTTTTCGCTTTGACTTAAGGTTCACTTTTTATCTTCTTTTCTTCGAATTCATTTTTTGTTTTTTTTTTTTTTTTTTTCCTTTCCATTTAGGTGCGAGCACTGAATTGGATGCTGTGTCTAGCTTTAGTGAAATCGTTCCTGACACCGTCATATTCGATGATTTCGAGAAGTACGCTTTTTTTTTTTTTTTTTTTTTTTTTTTTTCTTCCCCTATTGAATTACTATTAATTGAAGCTTCATCTTCTTTTTTTTTTTTTTTTTTTCTTCCCTTTGAATTACTATTAAATTGAAGCTTCAATCTTCTTTATAATTGCTTAATTAATGATTTCTTGTTTGATTGTTTGCATCGCAGGTTTCCTCCAACTGCTGCTACTGTTAGCTCTTCGCTTCTTTTGGGTATATTGAGTCTCCCCGATACTATATTTAGGGTAAGCACCGACATTATTTATCTCGGGGGAGTGGGAAAGGAAGAAAATTAATTTGGACCCTCCATTTTGATTCATATAAGCTATGGCAGTAGATTGTTTTTCTTTGCTTTGAGAATTACGATTGAAATTTCTCATTTTCTTGTAGAATGCAGTGGATATGGCTTTGGCCGATTCAGGTTGTGCTGCTCTGAAAAATCCTGAATCGAGATTGTCTTGTTTTGCTAACAAGGTTGGTTTTGCTGAACCTTCATTGTTGTTAAAATTCATGCTAAGTTGTTAACTTTGCATTGACTCCATATTTTCTTCCTGTTAAAAATCTAAGCTTGAATGTTAAATGGATGGCATGGCTAATGTTTATGTAGGCTTTGGTGAATGTTGGAGGTGATTTGGTGAAATTAGTACCTGGCCGAGTTTCAACAGAAGTGGATGCTCGGTTGGCTTATGACACTCATGGCATTATTAGGAAGGTAATTTTTTTATAGAATTATGAGTATTCAGTTGTCACTTTTAATAATTCTTCAAAGTTCCTTCTTTCTTCCGAATTGTATGTTTTTCATTTTCAATTGGTCATTTGTTCATTAGGACAATGGTTGAAAAATGTCTTCCTTTTATTTTGTTAAAGAAGTTGCACAAGGTACTGGTACTGATGGATCTTTATGGGTTTATCTTTTGTTGAATTACTCCATACTTACACACAAGTGAATACAAGTTCAAGAACAAGAAAGAAAGAAAGAAAGTAAGAAAGAAAGAAAGAAAAAAAGGGGGAAAAGAAAACACAAGTGAATGCTGTGTTAGAAGTATACACTATTTTTGGACCCTCATTTACAAGCTTGAGCTTTTAGGTTGAGTGGTCCAGTGAATTCCACACTTTATTACCCATCCCTATGCTCAATGGGCATTGCGTGAGGAGGCTTGTTAAAAATATAGATTATTTTGTGGGCCATCACCTACAAGCTTGAGCTTTTAAGTTGAGTGATTTCTTGACAAATCATGGTCATAAAAATAATTTTGCATGTTGTGTTATTATAATATTATAATCTCTTCGATCCTTTCTCTTATAGACAATATGCAAACTTTCTAATTTGTCTTGCATTTTTGGATGATTTTAGAAAAATCTATGATCTCTTTCACCCTTTTTGTACTAGCACCCTTACAAGTTTCTAACTTAACCTTCCACATTCAATTGACTTTATGGATCCACTGTCAACCGAGAGTTATTCATTTGGTCATTAAGATGTGTGGTACTGGAATTTCAATAGTATCGATAATTACAAAGTATGCAATACGCTTTGTTTCCTGCAGATATTTACATGAAATGATGTGTTAGTTCGAGATTCATGCAACAACTAATACAAAAGCGACATATAACTTTCTTGTCAAACTTGAGATGAAAAACAGTGTTAAAGAAGAGGAATTTGGCGTTTTTCATGTCAGAAATATTTCCAAAAGTTAGTTTAACTTAATAATTAAGTAGTATGGCTTCACTCTATTTATGAGCATCCGATGCTTGACACCTTATGTAGTGTATGCTTGCCTAGAACTTCAATGATAAAATCTATCGTCATATGAAATTCATCCAATGCAAGTTTGTATATATTAGTGTTAGAGTGAGACAGCACTTATTTTTGTTCAAGGACTTTGTATCTTGCATGTGTGCTGTGTGTATAACTTAGTTACTTTGGACTCCTAGTGCAATTATGACATTTGATGAGTATTGAGGTTTGGAATGCTATTTGATGTTTGGTTGTGTATCTAAACATGCAGGTGCATGCCTTGCTGAAGTTGTATGATGAAATCAATGTTCCCCCAGAGCGTTTGTTGTTCAAAATTCCTTCAACCTGGCAAGTGAGTCGCTGTGAAGAAAAGATCTACATTAGTAACCTTAGGAATTCCCTACACAAATCCAACAGAAAAATTGATGACTTCTTTTACTTTTCCGTACCTTATTCAGTTCATCTTTTATTCAGGGAATAGAGGCCTCGAGATTGCTGGAATCTGAGGGTATTCAAACACATTTGACTTTTGTTTACAGGTAATTATTATGTTCTCAATCAAACCCAACAGAAACAAAAAGAAAGGTGAATGAGTGAAGGTTTATAAGTCGCCAATTTTAATTAGCATGGGTGTATACATTTATTTTTTTTATTGGGTTAGTCTATGTATTTAAGGTACTCATGAGGATTGGGACAATTGTGATTATTTTTGCCGTTTTTGGGAAATCTTTGTTATATAAGATTTATATGCTAACATTCTTAATAATTTGCTGAAATGGCTATTTTAAATGTAAACATATTATTGTACTATCTTGAAAATCCAACTCTTTTTTGGTTTCTTTTGTACAATTTTCAGACAACAAAACCACTTAAGATACCATTCACATGTGCTGATCCTTCTGGTTTAATAGATCTTTTTGCACTTTACTAGCTTGTTTCCTATGTGTATGTTTTCATCCTCTCCACATAAAGAAGCATTAGCATTCATTTTAAGGTTTATATCTCAATTGTTTATTTTTTGGCACATCTCTCAGCTTTGCTCAAGCTGCAGCTGCAGCACAAGCTGGTGCTTCTGTTATTCAGATTTTTGTTGGACGCCTCAGGGTAATCATCCCAACTTTTACCAAGTAATTGCATACTCTTCTTGCAAAGCTTTAGTGTACCATGGTTGTTAAGGTGCTCCTATTATTCTTCAGGATTGGGCACGCAACCATTCTGGTGACCCTGAGATAGAAGCTGCTCTAAAAAGAGGAGAGGACCCTGGTTTGGCTTTGGTTAGTCGAATGACACTTTCCTTTGTGATTCTTTGAGCTGCAATATGATGTTTTTGGCCAACTGGCTTTATGTGCTTACTTTGTTTGGTTGCTACTTTTATAAGCGGCTACCCTATGACATTGAGTTCAGGATATATTTACTTTTTAATATTTATTCCTTCCTTGCTTGGGGATCATAATTTGTAAACAGTCATGTTGCTAGGCACAAAAGTAACAACATCCCCATCCCTCCCCTCCCCCCCCACCCCCCCCCCCCCCCCCCCCCCCCCCCCCCCCCCCCCCGCTCTCTTCTTCTTTCCACCCTTATCCTAGGCTCAATTCCTCCAGCAGGTTTATGTTGTTGTTCTGCCTCTACGGTTATTGTTGATGCCATAATCTTTGTTGTGCAGCTTTTGAATGAATTATGTGCTGAGATTAAGAGATTCTTATTATTTCCCCGCTCTCTTCTTCTTCCACCCTTATCCCTAGGCTCATTCTCCAGGGTTTATGTTTGTTCTGCCTCTACGTATTGCTGCATGCCAATAATCTTTGTTGTGCAGCTTTTGAATGAATTATGTGCTGAGATTAAGAGATTCTTATTATTTCGTTTTCAGCGTATGAAACATAAAATAATTTGAATTTATGAGTTCAGTGACTATCATGTTCTCTTGCCAAATACACTGGATGATGTTGCTGAAATACAGAGATAAGACAAAGCTACAAGACATACTTGAGGCAAGGGGAAACTCCTTTCTCTCACCTTGTTTTCTGTCTTTCTTACTATCCCAGATAAAGTAGGAGTCGAACTGGCTTTGTCAATTAATAGGATTGCTTATCATCTCTACCTCAATGTCACTAGAAGATTTACAGACCATTTAGTGGGTTTTAAATGCACTCATTTTCTATTTAATGGATCAATCAAAACCTAATTGAACATTCTACACCCATAACTCTATAAGTGCATTGTTGAAATATTTTATGTAGATTGCAATTTTTCTTTTTTGCTAAATCTAAACTAGATTTGTTGTTATTTGAAGCCAAATATCCATAGGAGAACTTTTTTCCTTTCCCTTTTGTTTAGTTATTCTAGTATTTTGAGATCGAATAGCTCATATTATCTCTTGATGATGCAATATTTGGTAGTCGGAGGAGTAAGCATACCATCGGACTAAATTTCAAGTATCTAAGTATTAGACTTTTCAATTATGTTTGCACAACCCTTTGTATTTGTTTTATTACCCAATGTTGATCTTGCTTAAGCAGGGCCCATGAGGAGTGATCTGGATGTGTTTCAGACTCTATAGTGTTCTCTTACAAACTGAGACACTTGTCCTTAACTGTTTACACCTTAAGAATTGGGTCTGAATCTTTGTATCTCAATGTCAGTTATTATGATGGTTAAAGTATAACCCTAGATTTCTACCGCTTTTTTTTTTTTACTCTTGTCGACTTCATTATGATCACTACATTTGAAATCCCAAGGTGTCCTTATTTTAATGAACTACTCGTTCTCATTGTAGGTGACAAAAGCTTACAATTACATCCACAAATATGGACACAAATCAAAGTTGATGGCAGCAGCAGTTCGTAACAAACAGGATCTCTTCAGTCTTTTGGGGTAATATGACTCAAACTTTGAACATTTTTAATCATATTTAGCTAGGACTTTTCAACACCTCAACAGAAGATCAATATTTGACACCAGCATTTTTGTTTCAGGGTTGACTACATCATTGCACCATTGAAGGTATTGCAGTCTCTCAAAGAGTCTATCACTACTCCTGATGAAAAGTACTCTTTTGTTCGGAGGTTATCACCACAATCTGCTGCTGCCTACAGTTTCAGTGAAGGAGAGGTTTATTCTGTTTCCATTCTCTTGATCTCCTCTTAAACATCATGAAATTCCATGTTAAAATAACAAAAACATGGGGAATTTTGTGAAAATTTACTCCATTAAAAAATTAAAATGGGAAAAGAAAATCTGCCTCAACCATAGGAATCTGAATGAGTAGAGTGAGTGCCAAATTGAAACCATCACAATTATATGACTACTGGCCTGATATCATAGTTTTGGCATTCATTACAATGAAAACATGTCCATTCTCTCTAGTGCATACTCTTGGATGTGCAGCTTTCTGCAAACCCGCTTTATCCCTTTCAAATTGATCTTAACTTTATGTTCAGGTTGCAAAATGGGACCAGTTAAGTGTTGCATCAGCAATGGGACCAGCAGCAGTCGATCTTCTGGCTGCCGGTCTGGATGGTTATGTTGATCAAGCAAGGCGAGTTGAGGAACTATTTGCAAAGATTTGGCCACCACCAAATGTGTAAAATTTTCTAGTTCATTTCTTGGAGATATGGGCTTCATGAAATAAAAGATGGAACAGTTTTTCAATTAGCCCTTGTTCATTCTATATCCTCTTCCAGTCTTCTGCTCTTCATTTTACTAAAATGATAATCAAAATTTTATCTTTAGTCAAAACTGGCAGCAAAAGTTGACTTTTGCCGAACTTTTTGTTTTCATGAAACACATGGATTGGGTTGTTCTATTAGAGGACGTGTGGGATCTCTTTTCCCTCTTCACCTCATTTCTTTTTTGAACTTCGTGGTCTTTTTCAAGGCCAATAGCCCACTAGAAGAAAGTGCTTTGTCTCTTTACGTAAAGCTTATCTCACCTTTTAAATGGGAAAAACAGAAAATTGCTAAACCACTTAAAACACATTTTGTGGGGACGAAAAGTCCAATTATTTTTGGCGGAATATTTTTCCTTAAGGGTATGTTTTTTCTTGGGATTAAATTGAATAATTAAAATTTATATTAAGAGTTAATTGGTAAATGATTAAGCAATAGTATATTATATATTTTATTATCGTATGAGGTAATTTTATTTTTTTATCTAATAAGTTATATAGCTTACTAAAATATTTATAACAAGAAATTGTCATTTAAAACAAAAATTGGCTTCTGAATTTAAATAAGCGTTTTATTGGTTCTGATCAAATAAATAAATAAGTTGAAAAGTTATTTCATTGTTGTCTAACTAAATGAGTTGAATATCTAATAAATTGTCAACAAGAGTTTAATGAAAAAAAAAAAAAAAAAAAGCTTATTCGTGACATATTAGTATTTGATCTCCAATAAAGAAAATTAAAAATAATTTTTTCCATGTAAAAAATATAAATAAATAAGAACAAGCACTTTACCGGTGGAATTAACTCTGAACTCTGAATACTTTAAAACTTTACAATCATTGTGTTGTTTCAACTGTAAATGACTTAATTCCAACCAATAATTCAGGTGTTTTTTCAACTGTTAATGAGCTCAAGACACGTTACAAAAGTTAGTCATATTTAATGAGCTACAGAACTAATGATTGGATTGATAAACCACCTTCCTAAATTAGTAATTAACTATGATTCTGTAATAGTAGTAATTGAATTGGCAGAATCTTATTGGTTTGACTGCCCTTAATCAACTTTAATTTTATGTAATTGATATCTGAAAATATAACCAGTTGTTCAAATTGCAGCACTTCCTGAGTGCATATTATAATATATTTCTTATAAACAGTATCTAATGTAAAAAAAAAAAAAATTAAAATGACGCAGACTATTTCGATTCAGCCATTAAAATACTAGAATTCACTTCAATTTCACCAGTTTGACACGACCTTGAGCAGTAGCTCATGAAATTAATTAAAAATAATAAACTATAATTTTGTTTTGGAATTCAAGTTTGCTTAAATTTATTATATTACTAAATTTAAATAAATAACAAATTATTCAAATCAATTCTTACCCTGGATTCATGTAAATTATTTATTTGAATTTAATTAAATTCATGAAAATAAAAAAGAAAAACGTATTTGTTGAACATAAAAATTACATTACATGTGTGTAATATTTCATAAAATTCAAATATGTGGATAAAATCATAATCATTTCAGATGATATAAAATTTATTATAATCTTAAATTAAATTTTAAATGTATAAATTTTGTAGTTTTCTCAATATTTTTTTTTAAGTATTGGAGAAAGGGGATTCGAATTTAGAATTATTGTCACATCGTATATGCACTTACCAGTAGGCTATATCTTAGTAGCTTTAATTTTTTCATTATAAAGTTAGATAAATAAAGTAATAAAAAATAGGTATAAAAAATTAGAATATTAATGCTCCATTTTCCATAATCTTGTAGTTCTTATTAATACATTGAAGTCTAAGGCTTTGTTTGGAAAAAGGAAATTTTTTCAAAAAGGAAATATACAAGGAAAATATTAGAAAATATTTAGAAAGGGTGAAATAAACTATTTAATCATTTTTTGCAAGAAGTAAACCATTTTACCCTTAAAAATAAAGTTAATTTTAGAACAATACACAGATAAAAATTCCTAAATTTTTTAATAAGAAAATGCAAAACATAAACAGAAGAAATAAAAAAAATCATTAATATTTATATCGATAAAAATTAATTATGTCAAACTCTCCGTTTCATAATTTCTATCTTAATATTTTTTTTGTCATTCGTCTCGAATGTTTGAATAATTTCAAAAATAATTAATATGAATTATTTAATTTTTATACGTATCGGTATAAGGATATATTAAGAAAAATTGAGTTAAAATTTATAATTTAATTATATTAGCTGAATTTCCTTAATTTATGCTAAATCAAATCGGTATATACATCATGCGAGGGAGGACGTAATCATTTACTACGTGTTAATAAAAGAATGGGGCTTGGGACGATGGTGTTACAATTATATGCGGTGGTGAGTCCCACAGTAAATCCATATTGATTTGGGGGTGGGACATGTTTGTCTCCTTGCATATAATTAAGGGCGGCCTACAGTAGGACCATCCTTACGTGTCAAAACAGCGAAACCCTTTCCACCTAGGCATGACGAGAACATTATATTATTATTATTATTAGTATTATTCAGTTAATGGAATCTTTTAAGAGAAAGAAAAGGGTTCATTACATTGCATTTCGGACGGTCCAATCACAAAGATGAGGAACTAGATCGGTGGATCCACCAAATAATTATTAGTATCATTTTCGAATATTAAAATAGACATAACCAACAATGACGAATCCCCGATCTCTGGTATCCGTTTTTTGGTAGGCAAATGCATGTGCAAGTTTGTGAAATCATGCGATTATTTTGCAAATAAGAACAACCAAACCCATCATATGTTTAACCCCAATCCGGATTTGCACATGAGGTGTTCATTTTATATGATGATTTTAACCAACAGATTTATAGAATTTTACTTTTATTAGTTTGATTATTAATCCAATTTTTTAAATTATTTTTCTTTAGGTTTTGATTAGATTTCGAACTTGCCAATTTTATTTTTGAAAATAACTACAATTTTATTGATTCAGAAGTCTCGAAAATTTACCTTTTAACAATAAAGTGGTATACATTTATAAACAAAATTTATTTCCTTTCTTGTATTGGTGAATTTATTCTCTTTCCTAATTTATGTTGATAAGCAATGAAATGAATAATTAGAATTCCATTTTGGAAAGTTGTAAAATGAAAGTAATTGAAATTTTGTCAATGTTTTTTCCATAATTATTTCCATCATTGTATTTAGATATAATTAAAGAAAGAAAATAAATTATTATTTTCTTTGATCGAAAAAGATAATTTTAAATAAAATAAAATGTTATTATTGAAAATCGATAATTATATTATCATCGGAAAATTTAGATTTTTTAAATAATTTAGTAAAATAATGAAATTTTCACTTTTTTTTTTGACTGATTTTCTCTTCAAATTGGAAAGCCTTCAAATATGTGGGCCTCATGAAAAATAAACTAAATTTTACTTCATTATTTTCCTTTCCTTTCCTAAAGAGGAAAACTTATTTTCTTAGCTATTTTCTTTCCCTCCCTCCCCCACTCCCATCCAAACAAAAACTTCCATCCAAATAAATGGTTAGAACTGAAAGTCCAATGTTAACATGGATTATTCTTATTTAATTGTTACATCAGAAATATGAATTTAAAAAAAAAAAACTTTAATACTAATGTTTATGTGACATGTCAAGCTGATGTGTCGAAAATAAAAAATAGACATTGTGTACCACACTTTTGAAGGATCTTTAGACAATACGAGCACTTATCGATGTAATTATATATTTAACCGTGGATTCAGAAAAGAAAAGAAGAAAGATAATGTAAGAGAATATGAAAGTAGTGCATTGAAGATATACATTATATTCCATATGATACATCAGCTACAGTTCACATTAGCACATTAGCATTGGAGATGCTCCGACCACAAATTATTTAGTGTTTTTTGAAAAAATTAAGAAAAAATAGGAGATCCGAATTGTTGGTTTTTTTTTTTTTTTGCATTTATTGATTTGTTTTCATATGAATAATGGATACTAAAAGGTGACAAATCACAATCAAAGGAAGACAATTAGCGAATTAAGCTGAGTCATTAATGAATCATGTGGTGAGAAACATTCCTTCCTCTAACAAATAATGTTGGATGGACAAATATGAAACAAGAGCTCTCATTGCAATTTCTGGTGTTTGATCATTTAATAAAAAATTAGTGGCCAATAGCTAGCAATCTGTCATTTTCCTCAGCTGACTCAGCACTCATGGTTATCCTTTGTTTATGGCAAATAATTTGTATTCTGGGTCCCTCTGGCCAACGCACTCTTTCTTGCCAAACTGGGTCCTAACGGAACCTTGATGAATATTTCTTGCCTCGTCATCGCCCTCTATTATTTGCGTGGCAGTTCGATTAGTCTAGAAACTTACAATCTCCAAACATCTTGAGAACTCCCCTAAATTGCCACGTCCTTACATTTCACTAATCAATCATGCATGTTTTATTAGTATTGTTATTATTATTATTATTATTATATTTTCTTTTCTTTTAAGGTTTTGACTATTATTAGTTTCCAGAAATATTAATTTATATTTTATATTTTGTAGTTTCCTTGCAATTTCTTTCTCGTCTTGTACTAAATTAATGAATATAAAGTTTGAGTACAAAAATTGTTTAAGCTAGCTGCAAGACTTGTTAAATTTAAGATGTTAATAATTATCAATTTTTAATATTTTTTTAATTACTAAAAGAAGTGAAGCTAGGATTAAAAATAAAAAAGGACAAATCATATATAAAAAATAAATTAAGAGGTAAAGTGACGGGAGGGCTAAAAATAATTGGAAAACCAAGATTTGACCTTTGGAAATATAAAAGAGAAAGGGGCAATTGACCTCTCCCCTAATGAGTTTTGCAAGTTCTGCAATATAAAACTTAATTTCATACCATTTCTATATATGTGTTGCTTTTTATAGTAATTAAAAAAACAATTATTTACCCAAATTACAATAAAATAATTCTTAATTTGATTAAATAATTATTTATCTCACTTAACACGTTTTAATGTCAGAAACAATTATAGATTAAGAGAAAAAGAAGTGACAAGATTGATTTTAAATTATTATAGACAATCATTATTGTGTTGATAAAATTTTTTTAAAAATAATTAATCTACCTATTTTTTTTTTTTAAACAAGAAATAACTTTAAAAAATTTTACAATGAAAATACATGGAGGGACTAACAATAGTAATAAACATAAAACAATGAGTGCAACGAGAAGAAAAATTTTTCTGTCTAGATTCAATTATTTTTTTGAATGGAAAAAAGCATTTAGTTATTATTGTTAAAAGCCAAAGCATCATAAAGAACTTTTTGTTGTCTAGATTCAACTTGAGCATGTATGTATTCAAAATGTATCTCTCAGGTGAATTTATCTCCTATACTCAACAAAATATAAATAAAATAAATAAATAATTCCAAGCGCAACACCATAGGATGCCTGTCTTGACCTGGCAAAATTATTACTAGGAAGCCACTATAGGCAATTATGTTTCAAATTAATTAATTTCTTGTCCAAAAAGCCGACTTAGTTGTTAATTGTTATTATTCCTATAATAATACGAAATTGGATAATACCGTGGGTTTTGAACCCTAGTTTTTCTCTGCTAGACTACTTCTAATCATCTAACTTTGTTGGTTAAGTTTCTTACCACTTCTAATACTAATTTGATTTGGTTTTATATAAGATGTTTGATTACTGAAATCTCACGGAAAAGTTGATTTTTTTTTTTTTTTTTTTTGTAAAAGTTAAATTTCTTAAAGGGTGAAAAAAAAAGATTTCTATAAAAAATAAAATACTTTAAATTATATAATAAATATTTATTATAACAATTATGTTACTTTAGTAAAAAAAAAATTTATTATCATCAAAACATGATAATTTAGCTTTTATATAATATTTTGTAGAGTTTTACTTTCTTATAAAATTAATTTTCCATGGAAAAAAAATATAATTTCAATAACCAAAATTGGCAGGGAAAAATAATAGGCAGGAGCCAGTTAATCCTAGTCTGGAATGGAGTCACATGAAAATTGTTGGTTCCTTGCTCCTCAAAAACTGCACCACCCAACCAATCATATCAAGAATTTACCGTTGTCCTTTTCAACTCTGAACTCTCTCTTCTTTTGGCAACTCTCTCGCTCTTTCTTTCTCTCTCTTTGACCCTCCATTCTCCATTCTCTCTATATATATATTGTATACGTATAATCTCTTACACACCACCACATATTAATCTTCTCCGTATCTCTTTTTTTCTTTTTGTCTATTGGCCTGTCATGGCTGATCTAAATCCACTCCTTCCCGTTTCACAACCTCAAGATGCCGGCTACACTTCTCTCCCGGATGGCATTAACGCCGAGACATCTTCGGCAGTCCATCGTCGGATTTCCAAAAAACTTCTCTCCGTCGTTCTTTCTGGGTTGTTTTTTGTTTTATTGTTTGTGGCTTTAATTGATAACAATAATCGATCCGAGAAAAACATTCTTTCCCAAGAAAACGAAAATGTAGGTTCTTTAGGTACGTCGCAAGATACAGCCAAACCGGAGATTTTGAGGCCCGTCTCTCGCGGCGTCTCCGCCGGAGTTTCTCAAAAGGCTAACCTGATATCTAGTCACTCAGAATCGCCAGACTATCCATGGAACAATAGCATGTTATCATGGCAAAGAACTGCTTTCCATTTCCAACCTGAGAAGAATTGGATGAATGGTAGATTCTGCAAACTTGATTTTGTTTCTTTTCAACTTTTATTTATTTATTTATTTATTGATTGATTGATTCTTTGCTTGTGGTTTTAGATCCGCCGGGAATCCTCGATTTCGTGGACTTTCCCTTTTATTTATATATTTTTTAATTATCTTTATTTTTTTATTTTTCTTTTTTCTATGGTTTTAAATTTTAATTGTCCCAAAAAAAGTGGCTTACCTTTTGGGTAGGAAAATAATATTCTAAATTGTAAAATTCTATAATAGTTATTCCTTAATTTAAAACTCAAATAAACCTTATATGATGAGTTGATGTTATAAATTAATATGGTAATTTGGTATTTCACTAGTTAATTTTTTTAATCTTTTTTCTTCATTTTTCATATTAAAAAATTAATAATTTAATTTAATGTGTTTAATTTCTTTGTTTTTGGCACATAATTGAGGTGGGCCAGCGAAAATTGTTTCCTTTCAGTTTCGGTGGATTTGATAGATAGGATTCCTTACGTGGCAATGACTATACTTTTTTGTTTTTTTATTAAAGCTTGTGTTATGTTTAGGGATTAAGACTTGCATACGCTAATTAGTCTAATTTCGCTTATTAACGTTTTGCCTGAGGAATTTTTTTTAAACTTATACAGTATATTTTATTACTTTTCCGCTTTGTTGACTTTTTTTATTAAAATAATTCATAAGCAGATGTTACCAAATTTTGGTCTGTCTCCAAATTTGTACATGCTCATACGTCTCCCTTTTTTTTTTTTTTTTTTTTTTTTTTGCTCATACGGTTCTCCCTTTTTTTTTTTTTTTTTTTAATTCTAATTTTCTTTTATCATTGTTGGCCGGTGGGACTTCATTGCTTCTGCTGCTGGAATCTGGTTCATTGTGCTTCAGATCCTAATGTAAGCATTTTTCTCATTTTTTTTTTTTTTTTTTTTTTTTTTTAATTCTAATTTTCTTTTATCCATTGTTTGGCCGGTGGACTATCATTGCTCTGCTGCTGGAATCTGGTTCATTGTGCTTCAGATCCTAATGGTAAGATCTCATTTTCTTGTTTTTGGACATTTATAAAATTAAGACTAGCCATCAAACTGGAACATTTTTTTGGGAAGAACAGAACTTTCTTTTATTTGACAATTTTCTGTAACTCTGAATCTGACTAGTATAAATTGATTTGCTTGGTTAATTCAAACTTTATCCGTTGAAAAGCAAAACTCGTGCTTCAAAGTTTCAAGCTTGACAATTAACCTGAATAAACTTATACAGGTCCATTATTTTACAAGGGCTGGTACCATTTCTTCTACCAGTACAATCCAGATGCAGCCGTTTGGGGTAACATAGTTTGGGGTCATGCAGTGTCAAAAGATTTAATCCATTGGCTTCACCTCCCATTAGCAATGGTTGCAGACCAATGGTATGACATCAATGGTGTTTGGACTGGCTCTGCCACAATTCTGCCAGATGGTAAAATTGTAATGCTATACACTGGGTCCACCAATGAATCTGTTCAAGTCCAGAATCTTGCATATCCAGCAGACCATAACGATCCTCTCCTCATTGAGTGGGTTAAATACTCCAGCAACCCTGTTCTAGTCCCTCCTCCAGGAATTGGTATAAAGGATTTCCGGGATCCGACAACTGCTTGGTATACTTCTGAAGGGAAATGGAGGATTACTATAGGGTCTAAAGTTGGTAAAACTGGAATAGCTTTAATTTATGATACTGTTGATTTTATAAATTATGAGTTGCGTAATCAGGTTCTTCATGGTGTCCCTGGAACTGGTATGTGGGAATGCGTAGACTTTTATCCTGTGTCGATTTATGACCGAAATGGATTGGAAACCTCAGCTAATGGTCCTGAAGTGAAACATGTTGTCAAGGCAAGTCTTGATGATGATAGACATGATTATTATGCCCTTGGAACTTATGATGACAAGAATGCTACTTGGTATCCTGATATTCCAGAAATTGATGTTGGTATTGGTCTTAGATATGATTATGGTATATTCTATGCTTCCAAGACATTTTATGATCAGCACAGAGGGAGAAGAGTGTTGTGGGGTTGGATTGGTGAGTCTGATAGTGAAGCTGCTGATGTTAAGAAAGGATGGGCTTCTCTTCAGGTATTCATTCTTTTCTTAACTTCGCTTATTTAAAACCATGGTTTTTTAAACATTGGGAAAGTTAATTCATTTGTTTTAATCATGTAGGGTATTCCGAGGACAGTTGCTTTTGACACAAAGAGTGGCAGCAATTTGCTTCAGTGGCCAGTCGAAGAAGTAGAGAATTTGAGATTAAGAAGCAAAGAATTCAAGAACGTAGAGGTCAAGCCAGGGTCAGTTGTGCCTCTAGATCTTGAAGCAGCTACACAGGTTTGTTTCTACAACTTGTAGAATTTTAGTTAGGCAACAAGAAGAAGAACACATCTAACTTACAGGTCAATTAATTAATGCAGCTTGATATCTTCGCTGAGTTTGAGATAGACAAGAATGTTTTGGAGAACATAGCAGAAACCGATGAAGAATTTAGCTGCAGCACTAGCAATGGAGCTGCTCACCACAGTGCATTAGGACCTTTTGGTCTCCTGGTTCTCGCAGACGAGAGTCTTGCAGAGCAAACTCCTGTTTACTTTTATGTTACGAAAGGATTTAATGGCACTCTCAAAACATTCTTCTGCACAGACCAAACAAGGTAATTAATTAATAATTAACTAGTGCACTTGATTACATATAATGTATAATGAGCATTTGATTAATTAATTCTCTTTTACAGATCCTCTGTTGCAAATGATGTTAATAAACAAATCTATGGGAACTTTGTTCCAGTTCTAGAAGGAGAAAAATTCACTCTAAGGACATTGGTAAGTTCAGTTGAGAGTAACTAATTTTGCAACAATATCCTGTGTTATGTCCAGTGATTTTAACAGAATATACATGCACAAAAAACAGGTGGATCATTCGATAATCGAAAGCTTTGCTCAAGGGGGCAGAACATGCATCACCTCCAGGGTTTATCCAACAAGGGCAATTTATGGAGCTGCAAAGCTGTTCCTATTCAATAATGCTATTGAGACAAATGTTACTGCTTCACTCAAGATATGGCAAATGAATTCTGCGTTCATTCGCCCTTATCCGAATATCCGGTAGACTATGAAACTTAACTTTCTAAGTCTACCTCATTGATTTGCTGCAATTTGTACAATTCTTCTCATTGATTTCCTGCAACTTGTATAATATCTTCTTATTTTGCTCGGTTTATTTTTCAATTTTGATTCATTTTGTTAGAGGTAATAGAGATAGATCTTAGTAGAAGAATGTGTAAACATGTTTGCCCATGCAAAGCCATATATATATATTGATCATTGGGGATTGGTTCCGAATATTAATTTCCAATTTTTTTTGGGAACTAACTGCATAACAAGCCATCTAACTTAACTTACTAACCATGTACTCTAACCTCTAACATTATTGACTTGCTTACTCTTAACTTTTATTACCCTGTTTCTAACAATTCCTCTAACTTCACTTGAGTTCCTAACTCTTAACAAATCTTCTAACTTTTCCTGCATTGATTTGAGTTCTATAATTGTTAGAATGATACAGTTGGCCACAAGAGTTGAATTAGTGGCTTCCTTCCACATGGATTTCAAATTGACATGTTAATATTATCCATAAAATTGGAATCTGCAAAGAGAAATTGAGCCACGTTACAATATTTGTTGGACTGATTCTGATTTACTGAAAAGAACTTAACTCGTTCTTGCCCTTTGAGTTATTGGAAGGATAAGCCATGGACACATATTGGCCTCAATAATGGCTGCTGTTTATGCTTTGAGATAATGGGATTGACCATGACAATTGTTTTTCTGGCCATGGATTATTTGGTGGGCCTTGATGGGGAAAATAGTGTCACTGTACTGCGAAGTGTTGCTGACAGCATCCGACCAAAGTGGGTTTAGGCATCCATTTATAAGACATCAGACTAACTATGTTGGAGGTGCTTGCAAGCATCTAATGGAGGATATTCCATGACTACTACTTTTCTTTCTGCCACTCTGCAATCTCTAGGAGGTTGGAGATGGGAAATACTTACACTATAGATAAGGGTGGATCCTATGCGATCGCATCAGGAACACCTATCTCTCATATGAGATTATATAATTAGGGTTCACGTCAACTCCCCCAGGAGGGCCAATGACCCATCACTTCAACTATCAATATAGATTATTGCGTTTACGTGCATCTCCACTTGGCTCCGGGGGATATAGCTCAGTTGGTAGAGCTCATTCTTGCAATTGGGTCGTTGCGATTACGGGTTGGATATCCCACTTCCACTGTGTCAGTAAACTCTTAAAAAGGATAGAGCATTAGCCTGGTTAAGCCTTTAAAGAGCTCCACACCTGATACGAACAAATAATGGTGGATACAGGAACTTTAAGATACCTTGTATGACAAAAATAGAATTTGAGTAAGGATTTTCTTTCTGATTTGAAGGTGGTGAAATTATGAGAAAGGAAAAGAAGATATTTGAAGTTTCAATTATCATTTACAGTAATTTGTGTTTTCTCTCCAAACCTTGCTGGTGAGACCAAAAGACTTGCATTGCCCTGGAAGTGTACAAACCCAGATTTACAAGATCCAGCCCAGTATGTTAAAGTACCCAAATTAAAGTTACAAGGTAGCTTATAGATAGAAGTTGCCATTATTTATAAATATATTTTTGGTAGCTTTAATTCTAATTTCTATCTCTTAATAGTGAATATCAAATAAGAGTTTCTTTCTTTCTTTTTTATTTTATTTTATTTATTATAGTAAGGTGGCATTTTTTTTATGCTAACATATATTCATATTTTATATTGTGAATTCAGGTTGAGTATGCTGATACACCTTGGAGTCTCAATGTTCATGTTAATGAGAACAGACTTCTGGTACTTGGCATGGCTAGGCTGATCGATGCAAAGTAAAGCAATTTTGTAGTTTTTCATTTAAATTCTATTGTTTTTCAATTTTCCAAATTATATAGAAACTAGAAAAACTAATAAAATTATTTTTACAACAATAGTTTTCATTTCTCAAATGGTAAATAAAGTTTCTAACAAAATTTTGCTGAAAATAAAGAAATCCCTTTTTTCAAAAAAAAAAAAAAAAAAAAAAAAAATACAACAATAGTCATTTCTCAAATGGGTAAATAAAGGTTTCTAACAAAATTTTGCTGAAAATTAAAGAAATCCCTTTTTTCAAAAAAAAAAAAAAAAAAAAAAAAAAAGTTGGTCTTGTTGGATGCCTTGCTGGAATTCTGTGATGGAGGAGACACCATTTGGGCTTCTCTAGTGGAATATAGCATAGGCGGTTAGTCTTAGTTGATCCTGGATTTTTGAGTATACCCTAATATTAGTATAGGAACACCATCATGTGTATTAATTATTTATCATTTTTTTTAGGTAAATAATTATGTCGGAGTTTTATTATATTTCTTTTCTTTTCTGAAACATACAGTCTTATTTTTTATTAATTAACATCCATTTGCTTTTTTTTTTTTTTTTTTTTTTTTTAAAATCCTGAGAATGCTTTGGAGGCCAGTCTCTGCTAGATTTATGGGATATGGGCCACGTATTTGGTTGACCACCATTAAGTTTGATGTTGCACTAACTATAACGGTGGGGCTTAATTAAGGTTTTAGAATAAATTGGATTTTTTTAATCATTGACTTAATTAAATTAGTTTTTTTTTTTTTTTTTTTTTTTTAAATCCTGAGAATGTTGGAGGCAGTCTCTGCTAGATTTATGGGATATGGGCCACGTATTTGGTGACACCATAAGTTGATGTTGCACTAATATAACGGTGGGGCTTTAATTAAGGTTAGAATAATTGATTTTTCTTAATCATGACTAATAAATTAGTAGTGGGTATGGATATGTTCATACTAATGGATCCACAAAACGACTTCAGAAAGAAAGTACATAAACGACAATAGTCAGCGGTCCACGAAATTATAGGTATTCTACAACATTTTTTAATCACATTATTGAGAATACAATATATCTTATAGGAATGACATCGTATATAGCAAGTTGGCATGTTCTTTTTCTTAACAAACATGCCATCCCTTAGCCACCATTATCACTCCATGTGACCAAATGATTCACTCACCATGTATATATATATATGTTGTACATTAAAATATTTTTTTAATTTTTTTTTGGCGTGTAATATATAAAGGTTAATAAACAATTCCTTGAGCAAGTATTTTTCTTAAGGTGAACTTCAGAAATTGGAAGGTTGGATTTCTCCAATCTATATGATTGTGATGATTAATTAATTAATTAGTATGTATCATTGTCCCAATATAAGCTAATTAAAAATGGGACGGATTATTAATTTTTTAATCCTCATGATATCAAGCTAGATTAATTTAAAAAAGTAATTTTTATATAGTTTAAGTGTTGATAAATACATAAAAGTAATTTAATTTGTTACTTTGATAAAAAAAAAGGGAATATTAACTAATATGAAGGCTAATGATTTGTCAAAACAATAGTAATGTTGGCATTTCGCAGAAAATATTACTAAGATAATATAATTTTTTTAACTTGGTTAAAAATAGTTTTAAATAATTAGATTCTAATTTATAAAAATATAATTCTTTATTTATTTTAAATTAATTTTTTTGATTTATGAACAAATCAAACAGTGTTTTACTTGTAACTTTCTAGTTGAAAGTAATTTTTAAGTCAACTGAAATTTCATATAAGTTTCTTTTTTAAATAAAAATATCAATTGTTTAAATTTTTTGAGAAATATTAACTATTCCATTTTTAACTTTAATATAAATTGTGAAAATGATGTTTTTGTTTCATTGGATTAATTTTTTAAAAAATAGCGCAATCAATCATACTAATCTTTATTCCTTTAATCAGATATCTCGATTTCGAACTTTGAATCTACTCGGTGTGAATTCGGATTAGTTGAGCCAGTAAGCTTAAAAAATCGGATAATTAAAAAAAAAATCAAATCCATCCTCATTAAATATTATTAGATTTCAAGTGCATGGGCCTTAAAAGATCTAATAGATGTACTATAAAATAGTGTTGGCTAGTTGGCTTGCTCGTGTGTAACTAACAACTTTACGTGGGTATTTTGCTTCATTTATTAAACTATAATATATATATGAATTAATATACTAATATTTAAATTAAAAAAAAGTAGTATTTAAATTAAAAGAAAATAAGTACATAAAAAATAAGTATATTTTGTGTATACACGTACAAAAATTCAATTATTAATACACGTACTATGTGTATATAATTATGCTGCTTTAGAAAAAAAGAGTACCTATGCAAAAAGTTATTTATATGACCATATACATATAGATAACAATCAACGCTAATAGTTACCTATAAGCAACATAGGATCCTATCTCACATGGATCTAAATTTCCACATTTTCAACAAATGCAATTGCGACTCGAATTTTTATTTTAAATTTGATAAATAGTATTTTCGACAATAGCCTTTTAAGTAACTTTAAGTTTTTTTGACTAGTTAAAATGCTAAACGTTATTTTTTTATAGTGTTCGGTAATATAATGTTTGAATCAATTTTAGAAATTAAAGATAACATTTTATAAAAAGCTATTCAAATAGCTAACGTTGCTAAAACAGATAATTTTAGTGATCAGACTTAAAGGATAGTTACAATTTTTTCTCGAACATGTAATAAATGGGTGCTCTCCAAAAAAGAAACATAAAAAAAGGCAAGTACTCTAATAGTGTCCTGCCAAATGAAGTAGTAAGGTTGATTACTCAAAAATGCCTAAGGAGGTATTCTGAACATTATTCTAAATTAAATCTTATTTAAATTTAAACTTTAAAATAGTGTAAACTTTTTGGAAAAAAAAGCAGTGAAAAATATGAATATTTAATATTAAAATGACAAATAAATGGTCCCATATGAGTCTATCATGCACCCCTTTATTGGTAGGTTTGTTGCAGTTTTCCGTTAGAAGTGGAAGTAGAGAATCTAGAGATGATAAACAGCTAATGGCACTCACAACTGTTACTGTTGGAATCTCGAGGTAAAATTTTTCGAGCCCACATATCTTCGGCTTTTGGACAACTAACTTCCACTGTTTTTCAGTTGGCTAATTTTTATTATGGGAACAATAATCATTGCAGAAATCTTTATTTAATGAGAATGTTTTTTCTTATTTAATTGTATTTTATGACAATGTTAAATTTAAACATAAAGCTAGAAAATTGTTGCAATTAGTATATAATTAAAAAATGAACCAATTGGTACCTATAAGCAATAGGAGTATGCAAAATTGCCCACCAAACTACACCGAAAATCAAACCGATCCAATTCATTTGATTTAATTAGGCTGCTTAAAACAAAGTTCGATTGTCGAATTAAATAATTTACTCCGTAAATCTCTATTTTTGAAAATATATTATTGTCCCAATTTTTTTTTTATCTTCTTTATACTTTACATTCTTCTTTCAATTTTTATACTTTTCTGTTGCATAAAGACGGGTGGAGATAAGACAATCATTTAGAAAGATTAAACGAAAGTTTTTATTAGGAGGTTAAATATAATTTTTTATATTTTGAAGGCTTAAACTATAATTTTCAGAAGGAAACTTCTTTTTTTAAATTTTGAAGGGGGCCACGGCCCCTTAGCTGCAATGGAGCTCGGCCCCTGCATAAAGGGATAAATTAGTAAATATTGATAAAATATAATAATAAATATAAAGATAAGTTGGTTGAATTTGGTAAAAAAAAAGATAAAAAAGTAATTTATTGATAAAAAAAAATACTCTATCGTACAAAAAGATAGTCTATTTTTATTTTTTATATATAATTGATCTTTAAAGTGTATATAATACTCTTATTAAATTTTATCTTATTTTCAATAATTCTTATTAATTTTTATTTATTATTTCAATATAATAATTGCTTATGTGTTATTTAAGATTGACATAATTAGAAATTATATAAATAAAATTATTCTTTAATCATAATAATTACTACTTTCTTAATTTGTGTAAAAATAAAAAGTGAACTCTCTTTTTTTATGATGAAAGGAGTATAAAAAATTGATAAAAGGATATAACAATATACCATCCAATAATATAAAAGATAAATTAATATATTTTAAAAAATATCGGTACAATATTATATGTTATGACAAAAATTTAGATGTAAAATTGTAATTTGTCCTTTAAAATGCTGTTTGTAGGAAAACTATTCCTTTTTCCCCTTTTTTTTTTTTCTTTTTTTTTGGGAAAAAGGAACAGCCTACAGTGTTGGAGATGTAAGGGTCACAGGGCTCCCTTAGAAAGGGTACAAGCCCAATTTATGAAGTGGGGTCCACGAAAGAGCTGGAAATTTAGACGTTGGGGGTCTTCAGCTTCACACGACAAAGTTCTCTTTTAAAAAAAAAACCTTCAATTTAACTATCAATATTAAAGGATTTCTTTTTTTTTTTTTCATAACCAACTGTCACCCATTATATATATATATATATATATAACATAATGTGTATTTGTATAAATTATTTTGATATAGTGAACTGGCTACTGGCTGTCACCCTCCTCCTCTCTCTCATGCTCAAATGAATGATGACTGGTGACCGACAAAAAAAGGCTTGGGGATCTGTCATCCAAGTGCTCTCTTTTAAACTTTATAGTACTCAATTTCTTGACTCGGCCCCAAAAACCCACTAAGACTATTACTACTAGCTCTACATGCTAAGGTGAAATAGAGCCGTTTTCTCTTTCTCCCTCCAACTTTAGAGGCTCTAGTTTCTTCCTTTCCTTCCCCTTCCTTTTCTCCCTATCTGATGATGTAAAACACAACAGAAAAGATAACCAAAAATTGGGTTCTGAGTTCTTGTTTTGCTAAAACACTTGAAAGGGTCTAAAAGATTATGGCTTTCTTTAGTAGCTCCTTTGCTTTGTTTTTTATCCACATTTACTTGTTTTTCAACTTGTGTTTAGCTGAAGATCCTTTTGTTACCTATAATTTTGAGGTCTCTTATATCACTGCTTCTCCTCTTGGTGTGCCCCAGCAGGTCTGTTATTTAGATCTCTCTGTCTTTTGCTTTCTTTTTCTACATTATACTCACTTCTTAACAGTGCTTCCAGTAAATTTATCGTTTTTTCTGCTTTATCTTGATTTCTGATAAGCGGATTTGCTATATTTTCTCTCAAGTTTTAATCTTCAGCTTCAGATCTGTTAAATTTACTTATTCACAGGTTTAATTCTTAAGATTAGCTGCTTCTGTACAGTGTACTGAGCTTGTACTTGATGTTGAGATGTTATATGGTTCTAGTCTTTGCTACTAAATTTGCATTGCTTTGCAGGTTATTGCTATAAATGACAAGTTTCCTGGTCCTACTATCAATGTAACCACCAACAACAATGTGGTTGTCAACGTTAGAAACAAATTGGATGAGAATCTTCTCATGCATTGGTAGGATTCTATTTCTTAATTGCTGTATTTTTGTGAATTTTGAGTTGAAGTGTGGATATTTATAATGATTTACTGTAACTAGTTTGAGATTAAGGCTTAGTTGTTGCTGTTGTTTAGCATTAAAATCTATTGCCTGATGGTATTTGTTGAAATTTGTATGAACCAGAATAGATGGAAATATATATAATTTATAATGATTACTTAACTTAGTTGAGATTAAGGCTTTAGTTGTTGCTGGTTGGTTTAGCATTTAAAATCTATTTGCCTTGATGGTATTTGTTGAAATTTTGTATTGAACCAGAATAGGATGGAAAATATATATATATATATAGATTATATATATATACTTATATATATATATATGCTGATTTTATATATATATGCTGATTTTAGTGTTTCGAACGTAATGGCTCTGTTAGGTCTGGAGTTCAACAAAGGAGAAGTTCATGGCAAGATGGACTTCCTGGAACTAACTGTCCAATTCCTCCTAAGTGGAACTGGACTTATCAGTTTCAAGTTAAGGATCAGATTGGGAGTTTCTTTTACTTCCCTTCTCTCTACATGCAGAGAGCTTCTGGTGGATTTGGTAGCTTTATTATAAATAACCGGCCTATTATTCCAATTCCTTTTGATACTCCATATGGCGACATTGTCATTTTGATTGGCGATTGGTACAAAAGGAACCATACGGTTAGTGTTTGCTGTTAAAATATTGAATCTCGATACTTTTAGATTGCTGAAAGAAGTTGGAAAGTGCGGTGTTTGATGACTTTTTTTTTTTTTTTTTTTTTTTTTTTTAAATGTCAGGCTTTGAGAAAAACCCTTGATGCAGGAAAGCTCGTTGGTGATTGCCAGATGGTAGTTCTTATATATGGGCAAAGGCCCTTACCAATATAACCACCACACTTTGTTCCTGACGGCATCGGGACTATGAAAACTGTTGAATCCATCCAGGTGACTATTCTAATATATTGACATTTTTGTTGAAGAATCTTATCAATTTTTTGCCTTTGTTTTGCCAAATGGAATTGGGTTTGTTTTTTTTTTTTTTTTTTTTTTGTAATGTAGGCTTTGAGAAAAACCCTTGATGCAGGGAAAGCTCTTGGGATGCCAGATGGAGTTCTTATTAATGGCAAAGGCCCTTACCAATATAACACCACACTTGTTCCTGACGGCATCGACTATGAAACTGTTGAAGTCCATCCAGGTGACTATTCTATATATGACATTTTTGTTGAAGAATCTATCAATTTTTTGCCTTTGTTGCCAAATGGAATTGGTTTGTGTCTGTTAGAATGAGTTAAAGCTTGTATGCTGCTCAAATCTTACGTTGCAGATGATTATTCAATATGTATGCCCTGCTTGCTACCATGTTTGTTGTGCTGTATATAATGGATAGATACGTAGTGGAACAATTGCTCTTTTGAAAGTGCATTATCGTTAATTATCATATATCTATCTATTTGCTTTCCTAATCTTATCTAACTAACTAACTAACTAACTAACTAATTTGTTAATTAAAGAACTAAAGCATAATTTATCCTAACTATTCTTCGCAGTATCATGTGAAATAGCTAATTGGGTGGATGTGAAAATATTTTAATACTAACATGGATGGCGTCCCTTGTAAATATATTTAGTTTTCTTCCTAAGTGTTATTTGGCAACCGCCAACAGGTATGAGTCATATGAAAACTGAATATTAGCATGTTTTGCTATTGGAGGAAAGAAATATTTCATCTATTCTTTCAGTTGTTATTATATTAAATGTCTCTTGATTCATAAATTGTTGTTGTAGGTTACTATCAAAGTCTATCCGAAGCTTCCTTAATTATTGTGTGTTATTGTCTTTTGCTTGTGATGTAGTTCCTGAAGCTCAAGCTCACACTTTTAAATGATGATGTTGCTATATGTTGGACAGGGAAAACCTATCGACTTCGTGTACACAATGTTGGAACATCAACTAGTTTGAATTTCAGGATCCAGAACCATAACCTTCTTTTAGCAGAGTCAGAGGGATCATATACCGTTCAACAGAATTATACTAGCTTAGATATTCATGTAGGACAATCCTATTCGTTCTTGGTGACCATGGATCAGAATGCAAGTTCTGATTACTACATTGTAGCTAGCGCAAGGTTTGTGAATGAATCACAGTGGAAAAGAGTTACTGGAGTTGCAATCTTGCACTATACAAATTCCAAAGGAAAGGCGAAGGGCCCCCTACCAGATGCACCAAATGATGAGTTCGACAAAACCTTTTCAATGAACCAGGCAAGATCTATCAGGTTGGCATCCGCTGTTTTTCAAATACCTTGACTAATTCTTTTTATCAGTTTGGGACTTCGTAGTATTAGAATTGTTCTTTTACTATGCAGGAATTTCTATTTTGATCTCATTTTGGCTTTAACTTTTGGGTGTTTCCGTGTGCAAATGCAGATGGAACGTTTCTGCAAGCGGTGCACGTCCCAACCCTCAAGGTTCATTTAGATATGGAACAATTAATGTGACTGAAATTTACGTGTTAAAAAATAAGCCACCAGTGACGATTAATGGGAAAAAACGGACAACTCTTAGTGGGATATCATTTGTAAATCCTTCGACTCCAATCAGGCTTGCAGATCAATTCAAAGTGAAAGGAGTATATAAGCTTGATTTCCCCACTAAGCCACTTGAAGGACCACCTAAAATGGAAACATCTGTAATTAATGGAACATACAGAGGATTTATGGAAGTCATTCTGCAGAACAATGATACGAAGATGCAGAGCTATCACATGAGTGGATATGCATTTTTTGTTGTTGGGTAAGAATTCATTTCCATCCTTTATGCCTCATTTGTATTTTGAAAGCATGCTTTTAATCATCCCTCTTCAACCAATTTATTTCAGGATGGATTATGGTGAATGGACAGAGAACAGCAGGGGTACCTATAACAAATGGGATGGCATAGCACGCTCCACAGTACAGGTATGTTCTCAACAGAGTTCCATGATCCATCATTACCCTTGCTTGGGTTTTGCCATCATTTTTCTTTTAACTTCATGATTCTAAAGCAAACATTTATATAGCATTTAAAGCGAATCTAATGTCAATTTGCTGCTTTCATGGTTTGTGTTTCAAATTTCCCCTTGAGAAGTCACTGATGGTAAAACTTTAGCTGTTTACCTTATAGGTGCATGATATCTGTTTCATGTATGCTGTCGTGGATTGTTATAGCACAGCTACTCCCTTTTGAGTCTTTATAAATGCTGTCTCTTGCTTCTATCGATGATAGTATAAGCAGTAAAAATCATCATTGTCCTAAGAGTTTTTGTGTTCCTCGAGTACCGGCTTTTTTCCAGATTTCATAATAATTATCCTCATGCATGTCCTTCCTTTAGGAACTCCAGCAATTGAGTGATTATCAAGAGTAAAATTCTCTGTGGTGCTTTTCTTCTTATATGCAAGGCTCATGTATAAACATGATGAAGTATTGGTAATTCTAGATGTGTAGAAGCAGCATTGACACTTTTGGCACTAAATTGTAATCATGAGTTATAATTTCTTTCATGTTTTATGTAGGTTTATCCTGGAGCGTGGACAGCAATTTTGGTATCACTAGACAATGTTGGAGTCTGGAACCTCAGGACAGAAAACCTTGACTCATGGTACCTTGGCCAAGAAACGTATGTCAGAGTTGTGAATCCAGAAAAGACTAACAAAACTGAGTTGCCCATTCCAGACAATGCTCTCTTTTGTGGTGCTCTTAGCAAAATGCAGAAGTATAGACTACTAACCTTTTTCTGCTGTTTATTTTTCTTCTCCAAGTCTTCTTGGAGTCATGGCATTAGATTCTGATTGTGTTCATTTTCTTTTTCAGGCCACAAGATATCTCTTCTTTTGCTGCATCAATGATGGGCGATAGAACAAAGCATTTCTTCACATTGCTGATGATTGCCTGTGCTGTGATGTTCATTTTCAGCTGATTGTTTTGCTCTGGGAAAGACTTGCTGTCTGTCTTGCACGTTCGAGCCTTTCTTCTTAGTGCGGTTTGTGGTTGTGACTTCTGAGTGCTTAGGTTTGTAGTCTAGTCCTGTTGATAAGAATTTTAAGTGATTTTGACATATGTTCTTAAATCTTCTTCCACAGTCCTTGTTCAATTTATTGGGATCGTCATTCTTTTAATACCTGTAATTTATTATGTGCTGATGACAATTAATCAAATTTTTAATACAATTAGCATCCCGTATATGCTTTCTGCTTTCAACTTGAATAGCTCATTTGCTCAGTTGCTCTATATATTGAATTGTCGTATAAAGGAGGAATCTTTCATTCGCAAATTCTACTTAATACAAGTGACTGCTTCTTTTGCTGAGGTGGTTAACTTACCTACGGTTAAAAAAAAAAACAATCATTCCATCAAAATGGCTATTCTTTTATATATAACATGCAGGAAACAGCATATCTAGAGTCATTTTCTACAGGACAGCTGTGAGAAATCTTTCTCAGACTTGGTGAGGTGAAACTTCCTCTTATCCTTACATGGTTGTAAAATACGGTAAATAAACGCATTATGTTCAAGGCCCACAATCTTCAACCAATATATGTTAGGAGTAGGATTTTCGCCAAGCTGGAAAATTCATGTCCCTTCTAGGTTGCTTGTTGTGGTCCCTTCCATCATTTGTTTACATGCAGCCAGCCCAGCTGGATCAAGATGTCCGTTTGTGTATCCCTTTGTACTTTGGAGGGAAGTGCTATTTAAATTACCCATTACTAACATTTAAGGTGCATTAACTCAATTATGGATCTCCTCGGAGATTCAAACTCCATAACTCATTCGTCTGATTGTGATATAAGGCACAGGAACCCTTGCATGTTGTTCAAAAGGGTCTTAGGTGAAACTATCCATGTGATATCTGACCCTGTCTGGGGCTGTTTATGATATACACAGTGGTCCAGTGCCCAGGAAGAGAGGAATTGAACACTGTCCTATTAATTATCAAACAAATGGAAACAATACATGAACTTTTTTTAATTGACTGTATAAGTAACTTTTGCAAAATATGACTTTCTTCACAACACTTGATTCCAAATCAAACATTTTTTTGTTTTCTCCTTCATTTTATTATTTTTGGTGATGCTTTCAGGAAAAATGAGGGGGATGATGGATTTCAAGATAATGCAATGTACATTTTGTTACTGTAGTTCTATAGTAACAGGAATAGTAACACTGATTGGAGTTGCTTTATAGCTTCTTTGCAGAGTGTGCCCTGTTTAGCTATCTTTAAGGAGTTATGTTTTCTGCCCTTCTGACCCCCTGAACTTATCCTATAAGTTAATTTCTTTTTCTATTAGGACAAGTAATAGATTTTCTTTGTGGCTTCTTAAGAGGAGGGGAAGTGAAAATAAAAGGAAATGGAAAAGTTACCATTGGCTTTGCGACCTCTGTTTACATGCTCTTATATTTACTTTCTAAAAAGCTGCGCTCTGCTTGGCATGTTATACTTGAAGGCTTCCTTACATGCATTTTGTTTCAAAGTTTCACACTTTTGGGGGTTGGAGACAAACTTCACAAGAAATGTCTTTTACAAAGATCCGAGCAGCTGAGATTGAGAAGGTGGGGCTCTATTTGCATCCCCTTTTTCTCCATAACTACAGTGTAAAAGTATTGGATATTGTTATATACCTTTCGGTTATGGTTGCATCGTATGCATAACTTCATTACTTGACCCTACAATCTTGGATTGAGCAATCTTGTTTCTGTTCCGCCATTTTCGCCTTTTCGGGAAGTCGCTTTAAGTTATATATGAACTGATATAGCTGAAATTGAATGGTAATTAGTCTTTATAAGCTTAGTTACTGATAAATGACAAGGCAATGTTGTACCCTGTTTTGTAATTCATGGTGCCATTTTAAAGCTTGTGAAAATACTTATATAAACAAATTAACTACTTAAGCAATATTTAAGCACCCATTTTATTTAACAGTATTTTGCATTCAATTGTCTGTAGTAATAGAAGTAGGCAAAGGAAACCCATAATTGACTTTAAACCAACCTCCATGTTCGTTCTAAATTTTCAGAACAAAAAGAAAGAAAGAAAGAAGCGGAAGAGTTTTCTGGAGGGAAATGCAAAACTTGGAGAAAGAAACTTCTTTATCTTCTCCAGCTTAACTGCTGCTGTTTGCCTGCAATTGCTGAGGCTGGACATACATAGTTCAGTAAAACCATCTTGGCTGAGATTAATTTTTAACGTCTTTAGTTCAATTTAATTCGATTTTCAATTAAACCCAAATCTGTTAAAAATAACTAAAAATAAATCAAATTAATTAAATCGAAATGATTTAGTTAATTTATTAACCGATTTCTCTTTGATCCTATCATTATTAACTACTTAAATTTTTATGCTTGATATGGATCAAAATGAAAATGTTGATTTTACTCTTATATATTCATTTTTATCCGATTCTGAATGAATAATGCGTATCTTAATTACATAAAAAATATTAATTAAGAAAACTAATATAATAAACTTTGAGTTGAACATATGTTTGACGGATAAGAATTATCAATTGATATTTTTTAACTTGATAATTCTTATCATCTATGTAACTTTTCTTTTTAAACTAGTGATTCATATTCCCTATCTTCTTCTTCTTCTTCAAAATGAAATTAATCTCAGAATATAATTTTATTAGCATAATTTATAAGAGATGGATATGTACTAGCTTTTTGTTAGGTAAGATATGAATCTATATTCCTATTTCTATTAATTAAAAAAAAAAATTTAATATAAAAAACAAAGATATAAAACGTCAATTTGGTTTACCTCTTGCTAAAAAACTAGTAACTGATAGTTAGATGTCTAATAGCTATATTGTTAAAATTTGGTATAAATTAAGATATTAAATGATTATTGAGGATATAATTTATTTTTGATATATTATAATTAAATGGTTTGAATTCAACCAATTGAATGCTCATTTGTTCTTATATTATTTTTATTTTATTTTATTATTTAAATAAAAGAAAATAATAGGAAACATCAAATTAAGAAAACTATTGACCTTACATATACATAGTTAAATAATTTTATTTTATCTTATAAATACTATTAAAATTTTTCTATCATCAATTAAAATATTTAATAATTATTTGTTATTTTTAATAATTTATCGTCATATAGAAGTTAATTTAAGAATGTATATTTCTAATATTAATAAATATTAATAACGGTTATTGAGCCTAAATATGAAATAAAACAAAATCAATTACCAATTCATGGAAAAGTTTCAAAATGAAGTTTTTAAAATCAAAAGTTGTTAAAGTTTTGAATAGAAAATTCCATAAATATTTTTCCATTTATCAATCGAGTTAATCTAACTATTGAAGTTCAAACAACTATTAGCAAACATCCAAATAGTTAATAACTATTTAATTCCATCAAAAGGAATGACAAAATTCAAAAAATAAATCCATTCTAGAAATATATAGATTTATAAATTTATTTGGATTTGTATTTATCGAAATAAGAAAAAAGCAAAATAAGAAAAAATAATGAAAATCATCATCCACCCAAAAAACATTGGTGTTAGTGTTGCTTGAGATATGAATGAACACAGAGAATTTATATATAAATTGTCTTAAAAAAAGAAATTAAAAAAAAGAGTAGAGATTAATAGATTATGTAGAAGTACATTGCTAGATCAAATTTCGACATTAAAGACATCAGTAGTAGTAGATTGGTTATGGATTAGAGCTGTTAATCTACATCTTAATTAAACTTGAAATCTTTCTGCGACTAAATACTAATTACTAATTACTAATTAATTAAGAGCAGAGAGACTTAATTTTATAGAGAAGAAAGAAAACAAACAGCTCCATTAGTAATTAAAGTTTCTTAGTATGGAGAGACACCAACATTAGCAGAAGCAAAGAATCCATCCTTCATCAGAACATCATCTGATCCTTCCTACAAAAACCCATAAGCAAATTAACTTTAATACTAGTAATTAAGGAAACTAATAACACTAGAAAGGGTTGTGCATAGTTTACCTGCTGGCGCATGTTAGTCTTCTTCACAGTCTGATCTGGCATGAGACCGAAGTGAATATGTGGGAAGTGGGCCCACTGACATAATGAAAACAAAACAAGGTCAGGGAAAAGACCCCACATTATATTCTGCTTATAATATAATATAATATAAAACAAAGAAGAAAATAGAGGAACCCTAATTACATAAAAAGAGCAAAAAAAGAAACCCTAATTTGGTAAAGTAACTATAAACCCTAAATAAATTTTCTTGGATCTTACGTTCTTAGCAGCTGCACTGAAGGCTTCTCTGTGGCTTATATCAGGATTTCCAGCCTTGATGCGTTGGATCTCGTCCCTGCATATTTTTTGCTTCAAATTTAGCAAAACTTATATACCACAAACACACACACACACACACACACACACACACACACACACACACATATAATATATTTCCATATTATTAATATTTAATGAGAAAAAAGAAAAAGAAAAAGAAATTCCCTATGTGAAAGCTTTGAAATCATTACTCACTTGATGAAGCGATTGTACGCTGAGGGGACTCTCTGTCTCTTCTCCGGAGCTGGACATGGACACAACACAACATACAGACACATTAAGATCACTTTAGTTACAACTTTTATTGCAATCTTGCCTTTTCTTTTCTCATTTCTCTCTCTCATTTCTCTACTGCCACTGCTTTAGTCATTACCTTTCCCTATCTCCACGTCCCCCATACATTTCCGGGGGAGACAACTGTACTTGTTTTTTCTTTATATATGACACAACACAACATTACAGACACATTAAGATCACTTAGTTACAACTTTTATTGCAATCTTGCCTTTCTTTCTTCATTTTCTCTCTCTCATTTCTCTACTGCCACCTGCTTTAGTCAGGTTGACCTTTCCCTATCTCCACGTCCCCCATACATTTCCGGGGGAGGACAACTGTTTACTGTTTTTTCTTTATAATATATATATTATATATATATATATATTATATATATATCATATAATTAATATATAATATATATGCATAGTATTATACAACAGGAAAAAAAATTCTTGGTTTATTTTTGCAAATTAGGACTGACAATGTTGTTATTTGCTATTAAGTTAAATATATTCTTTCTTGCATTGAAAAAGAAAAGAAAGAATGAAAAGAATTAGGGTGTTCAAGTAGTTATAAATCTTGGGCAAAACTGTAGGGTTTATTGCTAAATTTTACCTATTAAGAGGGAAATGTCATTACCAAATCAGGGATACTAAATCAGTGGAAGTGTCCAACAGCTTATTTTGGCTATTAACAATCTCATCCAAGGTAGTTGGACTTGTGATATTAGACATGTCTATAGAGAGGCCAACTATAATGCTGATTATCTTTGTAAGGTTGCTAGGAATTTCCCTCTAGGAACTCATTTTTTGTCTGGACCTCCTTCGGGTTTGGCATGGTGGCTCAACCATGATTTGTATGGTATTGCCCACCCTAGACTTTGTTTGTAATTCTTAGAGCCTAGCTCTCCATTTTTAACCAAAAAAAAAAAAAAAAAAATTAACATTTTTAACCAAAAAAAAAAAAAAAAAAGCTGAAAAAAGGAAAAAAGAAAAGAGATACTGAAGGGATGATCTATGAATGGCAGGCATAAGTGGGTTTTGCTACTAATTAATGTGACACAGGTTCTTTTTTCCCCACCATCAGACCAAAAGATCTTCAAGACTGTTAAGAGCTTAGTGAACCAAAAAAGGGAAATGGTATGATTCTTTTCCCACTATATATATTTTCTTTATTCCCTAAGAGAAAAAACATCTGCTTACTGACCACGTCAAAGAGAGAGAATTTTTACCCAAAAGAATTACATTTTGGGATTCTTCAAAGAATAAAGAAGGCGACATCCTATGTCTGATTCTCAAATCGAATATGTGACAAAGCCAAAGTAAAAGAAATTCGAATAACATTTTTGGCAAAATCTTTGAGAGAATAAAGGATGAAAAACATGAAATGAGATATGAATCTTACGTCTGTTAATAACTGGTGGCCTTGGAAGCTCATCGTGAGTCACTCCTCGAGACGGAACACTAAAATTATTCACATTTGTTTGATTGATCAAGAAGTTTGGAGTTTGGTTCGGGATTTCATCCTGCAACAAAAAATTATAAATATATATACATTAATGAGATCTGTTTTCACCGACAAGTATTGGAGTTATATCTAGAGCACTGCGACTTGAAACCCAGTTGCAGCCAAATTAAACAAAAAAGATCGAGTGGGTATACATATATATTAGATTAAAAGGCTTATTTATATATGTAATTAATCAATAATGAAGACATACCAGAAGATTATGAGAAGGAGAATAGAAAGAGTGACCCAAGTGAAACTGATTAGCAGATGGCAAAATCAAAGCACGCATATTGACAGGGAGGAGATTGGTGCAGTGACCACATCGGACAGTAACAGTCTTGAATAAACTCGTACAAGGAACACTCACCTATAAACATATACATACACATCATTTTTTAATTAAATCAAAGAAAGTGGTCACAATGAGAAACAGAAAATATATATCGAATTGGGGAAAATGGAAATCAGGAGACATGGTGATAAATTAGTACCGCAAGAACAGTGTCGCAAATGTTGCACTGGACATAACAGAGCTGCTCGGAGGGGGAAAGGTGGTCCACAGAGAGTGAAGAAGAGGAGGACATGGTAGAATTTTAATTTGATATATACCCTTTTTCAAGTCTTTTGGGAAAAAAAAAAAAAACAAGAAATGATTGATGATTTACTGGCTTTCTTTCTGGTTTGATTGATTGATAGGATTGACAGCTTAACCACCACTACCTTGGATCTGCCTTTTTTTTTTCTTTCTTGTGAATAAGGTGTTGTTTTGTGAAACAAAGGTGATAAAATAAGAGAGAAGACACAGGAAAGAAATAGAAAAACCCCTCGTGGCTTCCCTTTGTGCTTATTATTGGTCTTTGTTTATAGGACTAGTCATGCATGCATTTACATGTGTGCATGTATGTATAAATACATATGATGATGATGATGACATTTTACATTATAGTAAGAAGAAGAAGCATGCATAGGACAGTAACATGTGTGGTTGGCATTCCCAATGCGAGGGGGGGGGGGGATGCGTAGGGGGGGGGGGGGACTCGAAGAGAGAGAAGAAGATGAGGCGCGGCAGAATGTGGGAGAGGAAGCAAGAAAGGACGTGTGCATGGAGTGCATATACGCTTCACATTACTCTATCTGTCTGTATTTCAGTAGTAAGGGTGTGTTTTTTTTGTGGCTTTTTGCTGGTGTGTGGCTTTCAAAACCAAAGCCCTTTTTTCATTGACTCCTGTCAATTTCGAAACCCCCAAAACCCTCATCCCTCTTCATTATCCCGGGACAATAAAGCTTTTTCAAGACTCATTCATCATATGCTCACTCTTTCCGCCACATTAGGCTATACGATAGAAGGTAATATACCATATAAAATAAATTAGTGAAAGAGTAACCCGATATACTCATATAATTAGAATATATATATAGAAAATGAATTTTATTTTTTATACATAAAAAGAAAGAAAAAAAAAAGAAATTAAAATTCTTTATTGTCGAGCCCGTGAAGAAGAGCTGTAACTGATTACTCAAATCATCATGGCATAATCATGAGAATGTACAGTTTTAATTTTGGATATAATGTCCTCTTTATTATTAATTAAGTGAAAGATTACTTTTCTTGATTTGACTACTCATTCTCTTTTGTCTTGCACTATTTCATTCTTACAGACACGTAATTAAGTCAGTAAAACAATCACAGTAACAGACTTCCTCTTGATCTTGCTCTTGGTCTTCTTGCTATGCTCTTACCACCTTTGTCCTTTCCTATATTTCTTTTTAGGTTTATGTTTGCTTATTTGGTTAGAATCTTTTACCACCGTTTCCTCCTCCAGGGTTTTCTTTGCAAATTTTGCAGTTCTCTAAACCCTAGCTAGCTAAATTTGGTGGAATTGAAAGAGATAGTTTCCACTTGCCACCAAAATTTTTTTATTTTTTTATTTTGTTTATTTAAGGAAGCATCAGCATCCATACTCATTAAAGCCTGTGGAATCGCTTTTCCCCAAAAACTGAAGTAAAGGTTAGTGTGTTTATTATCGTTCTTTAACCAATGAGAATGGGTCCTGTATAACTCGGATGCAATTACAATCCGTTAAATGTTTTTTGATATTGTAATCAGCGGAAAGTTTGTAAAGCTTGTTGGCCTTTTACAGACCATCAAAATTCTTGGTCTCTACATTCAAATTTTGAAACCATACCTATTTAATGTTAGCCGCCGTTGTTGAAAACAAAAGAAAAAAAAATATAAAAAAAATTAGTTTTTGCTTAATCCCACATCGGGGAGATAAGCAAACTTCTTAATGGTTAGCCGCCGTTTAGATTTGAAAAACAAAAAAGAAAAAAGAAAATATAATAAAATATTCTAATCTAGTATATCTTGCTATAATCCCACAGTCGGGGAGATACAGCAAAAGTGAAGGTATGATTATGGCTTCTATGAAATGGATATAGTCTCCAATAGAGTTCTCATGGAGAGCCGACAGAAAAACTACACCAACAGTCAAAAACACTCAAAGCCGGGCTGCATCACCTATGCAAGAAGCGCTCTCTATAAATTATATTAGGAATCTTTTGGAATCACTATGGGTATAAAAAATATTTGGGTGTTTTGAGTGGGGAATAAGCAATCTCGATTGTTTAAAACGAAAAAATCATAGTATTCTGTAATAGAGGGTAAGGTCTTCAAACAAACGATTTGTCCGGCATACGTTGACATGTTAGTTGTTCTCAATTGATTGATACGTTTCTAAGGGCACACGCGCCAGTGTCTGCGTTATATTTCTCCACTTGAGGACACGAGTCTTTCCACGTAGTATAAAGTCGTATCAATTATCGAGTGAGCTCTTATGTAATTTCCTCACTTCTTATGTGTATATATGTTTATTTGGTTTCTTTTCTATCTACTTTCCCTTGACTGTAGAGTCGTTATGCGGGGGGGCCAAGGGCCGAGCGACTGGCTTGAAAGATGTTATCACGATTATTTCCCAAACCCAGTGGTTATCAGAGCCCCCAAGTTGTTGTACGAGGCGGTAAGTCCTTTTCTAGTTGTTAAATTGTAATTTCTTGTCCATTTATAGATCTGATGCTCTTGTGTGATCTTGGTTCTGCGGCTTGTCTGATCTCTCCATATCATTCTCGAGAAGGTAACACTACTGTTGTTAAATCATATTTTTATCTTTGTCAAAAAGCGAGGTTGGCAAGTTTTGAAAAAGTCTTGGAAAGCGGGTAAAAATGTAGGGAGTCTTGCTTAATTGGTATTAGTTGTAAAAGATTTACGTGAGAGTGAATGATGTCCTGACGATAAAGATGACTAAATATATCTCTTGAACACTTAATTCTTAATCTCTGATTAATATACTGTTGCACGTATTAAACTTATACTTGTCTAATGTGAAAAGGCCGGTTTTAAGTGGACCATATTTTGGATTCCTCGTCGACAAAGTCTGAGATTCCTACGTGGCAATCCTAAGGCAAATAATTGTGAATCTTAGTGGAGCTATCATATGTGATCTTTTCTCCCCTGCGGTATTGCCGAAATCGCGTTTACTTCGACTAAACTTATTAGGTAACTGTTTATAAGCACAAGTAAGTGGCATCGTCGGCTGATGAGATGGTGAGATTGAGAGATTATATACGCGGAGAATGAATTTTGCACGTTGGTGGCATAGATAGCCGTTGCTCAGAAGAAACTGGTGTTGATCATTTCTCTGGCCTCTTAAGGTTGCATAAGGTTTGAAGGCAATATAACCAGTCCAGGGAAGAGAATTTCAAGGGAACAGGAGCAACCTAGCAGTGGAGACTTCAGAAATAATTCCAAGATTAGCCGATGAAGAATTGGGAGGAGCTGATATCAAAGCGGCAAGTCAAATTCCATGTGTCTAGCCCAAAAAATTTTTCTATGCTAATGTGCTGGATTGATCCACGACAAAGGATGTGGAGAAACTGGAAAGAAATGGTACCAGGCAAAAATATATCCAAAGAGGTTTATTATTTGAAAGGAGCAATTCATTTTTACGTTGTGAAAATGGCGGAGAAGTACAAAAGCTGTGCAGAGTCATCTGGTGCGTGCCGCTGAGTTTCATTTGTGGTCACTCAACATTCGTCATTTGTTAACTTTTTTGTTTTCTAACCTAAACGGACTAAGTAGCCCCAAATTCCTAACACGATAAACAATTTACATGTCTCAGTAAGGTGCTATTAAAGTGCACTTTATGGACAACCTCTTCGGAGTGCAAAGAGACCGAACCAATGATATTTGAAAAGGCCCCAGCTCAAGAAAACTAAGAGCTATATATTACCACATAGATAAGCAGTAAAAAAACACAAAAAAAAAAAAAAAACATTAAAAAAAAAAACAAATAAAACAAAAAACCAATTAACCAATAAAAATAAAAAAAAAACAAAAAACAAAAAAAATAAAAAAAAAAAAACAAAATAAAACCAAACAAAAAAAGAAAACAAACAATTATAAACAAAAGAAAAAAAAAGCAATTAAAAAAAATAAAAAAATAAATAAAAAAACACAAAAATAAATATAAAAAACTCAGAAAACAAAAACAACAATAAACAGTATAAAACAAGAAGATGAAAAAAATAAAAAAAAATAAAAATAAAAAATAAAAAAAATAAACCAAAAAAAAAAAAAAGGCTATTTTACGCTAGTATATCGGAAAGTAGATACTATATAGTGTTCACACGAGGGTGATACTTAGGATAAGTGAGTTAAATAGTTGCTTAGCAGTGGTAGGCTGTGTTGTTAGTGTAAAGCTTCTTCACTGAGGTGATGAGGGCAGTAAGCCTGGAAATGCAACATTGACATAATGAGAAAAACTACAAATCACTATGAAGACGAAGATTGTTCCGAGCTTTGTACTTCTTGCTCTAATGGTGCCTCTAAGAAATAGAGACTCAAAAAAAGGTGCAGCTCACGGCAACGAGGTAAATGGTTCTAGTGCGCACTCCGCTTTATTATCCTTCTGGAATTCTCCTGCCCTGGGTTTCCCTGAGTTGTGGTCCAACTGGGGACCACGCATGACGGAACAGGACTTTTTATACAGCCGCAAACAACAAAACCTAGACTTTATTTCTTTTTATATATTGTTTTTCGTGTCTTGACATGCTGTTCCACGTTTTTACCTGGTATGTGGAGCTTGATAAATCTATAAACAGCCGTCTAAAATTACATATTTATCTAATAAAACGGCTCATAGAGTTACAAGCCTATCCTCTCAACCGCTCTGTGCATAGAACACAATAACTGTGGAATATATACTATACCGATTAGTTAATAGCCAAAGCGAGCATGCAATGTGTGTCGATCTCTGTTCAATTGGAGAGAACCGACAGATTCGAGGTGTTCCTGACAATATGGCTATGTTGCTATCCGCTTTTGATAGTCGGTTCGAAGAATCTAGTATGCCATGTAAGAGCTCGACTGCGATTTTATATCCGAAGTGGGTCTGGGTATCACGCCGCGCATTAGAGCGACACACCAACGTTGTTCAAACTTCGGATACGGTCTGAAGCAAGATTGATTTTTGCAACATCATGAAATGTGGTTGTGATTGAAAAAAAAAATTTATTCGTCATAAGGCTAAATTGAACTTCTCGGAATAAGGTTGTGCGCAACGGAGGAGCAGATAGTTGGCACCATCAAATTATTAAACGCGGTATCCGACTATGCCGATACAGAAAATTGCTAAGATCCGGCGGGTGAAATGTTATTTTTCACCACCAAATTCTGATATTAAGCGAAATTATGGGTAAACAAATAAAACAGAGATTACTGTTCTAGACCCAAATAAAAATAATAAGAGGTTATATTTGACTTGAGTTAATATTTGATGTTTTTAGCGGTTGAATACTCTT